GTCACAATGGGCGGTAGACGGTGTGGTTGCGGTGTGGCCACAGAAAATGTGTACAGCAGATTTGTCATCGAGTGCGTGCACGGCCACAGACACGTCGATCCTTTTGCTGAACGTATCGCGGGCCAGAGGTCGCGTCGCTGTCTCGAGTACCTTTCCCAGGATGTTCTACAAGCTTCAGATAAGCCTTTCAAACCGTATGTTAGGTCCTACTGCAGGAGTCGCCACAGAAGATTTGGAGTATCTTGGAGTATCGCTTTATCCACTGGTCGTGAAGGAAACTCCATGTATAGGGGCTATGGCGGAGCCGCCACGAGACAATAGTCAGTCAGTGAGCCCTGTTCAATGAGAATCGCGAACGCCACATACCTAGGTATAGTCCTGTTCACTAACCACACCACGGATTGTAACATCGACGCCGAACCAATGCTGTCACATCGGCGACTAACCACGGGAGCCCATCGAGGCCTTCGTCCCTAGGCCAGTCAACATAACCATGCTCCTCGCGACATTCCACCTTGGCTTGATGCTTTCACGACGCCCTCTGTGGTTTATATGACAGCACCCATAAGACCTACCCCTAGTCATCCAGTTACGCCAATGCTCATGCCACGTACCACCACTAGGACGCAAGGAGAATGGTTGCAACATGATTGGCACCAGATCGCCATGATGCGGGTCCGGGAAAAGGCGGGCCTTCTGCGATCTTGCCAGGAACAGTATGTCTTGCATATTCTGCTCCGTATTGAAATTCATGAGGCTGAGAAAAGATGGAGACAGGCCCGCGATCCAGATGTCATACGAGACGAACGTTCTCTGCTGGTCACCGACATTCTCCTTCCGTGCGATAAGGAAGCAGCTAGCCCTCTAAGGCACGTCGAGGGCAAACACGATGCGGACGAGCGGGTTTTTCGGCGTGTAGTCGGGAGCCCAGATATCGAGGACGTAGGGATTCACAGCACGGGACACATCTTCTGCTGGCTGTCCGTCGCTCGAAGTGACCGCTTTCAACAAGATCAAGTTGATCTTGCCTTTTTCCGCGCATCCACCTTCGACCATCGGCAGGACAGCTTCGATCGGGCAATCGAGCTGCTCGCTGGAAGAAGCACAGACACATGTGATCCTGGTTCTGGCAGTCAGATACAACTGTGATATGTAACCAGTACCATCAGTTTGGCAACGAACAATGGGGTTGGGACCTACCAGGGTCTCGTCGCATATGCGGTGCTGCCAAGTAGGAAGTGTACATGTCACCGACTGACTCATTGAGCGATACCAGAAGACGGTACCTCTGTTGATGAATTCACCCATTTGCCACGCTTGCAAGCAGAGGCCATAAGAGCAAAACCCTTCTTCGAGCTCCTCGCCCGTGAACCGCTCAGCCGGGTTCTCCACGTCAGGCGCGTCGTCATGGTGCTGAATCCATGCCGGTGCCATCGTGTCTCGGACAGAAGGAGCATAAAGTGGCAGAAAGTGCATGTCAATTTCCGTACATGTTTGGACATGTTCAGGCGTGTCAGATACTTGTCGCGAAGCTTAGCTCCGTCAGCTGAGATATTGATTTAGTTGCGACTCGAACTCATCGTATTGGGCTTCCAATGGCGTAGGAATGTCCATAGGATCTAGAAACGTATCGGTTGACGTCGTCATCAATCCCGGAAGACAGAGTACTTACTGTGCTGTGAAGAAAAAGCACTCAGCACTTTGAGTTGGAGGAGGCTCAGAAGAGGAGACGAGTTTGAGGATTGGGGGAAGGCGCTCGGCAAACGCCGACGCGCGCGTAGTATCGCCTGTACGGTACATTGTTACTTATACTGTACGGCCTACTACCGGCGACTGGTACAGACCTACAGTACATCCAAGATTCCAAAGTGCTTCTTCGAAGAACTCACAGTATACTAAGTGAGTTAGTACAGTGCTACGTAAGTAGTCATGCTGTTACTGCAGCTGCGTCTGCAGGTGACTTCACCCTGACTCTCGAACCCATGCACGAATTCGCAACAATTGTATTCAAGTAAGCAGGGCCGCTATAGCCGCTAGCTCAGAGCTCAAAACTACTGACACTGCCAGAAGGAACCATCCGAATGCCCCTGCCCTCGCCGCACCCGTTCGATTCAACATATCTCCACGCTCCATCACACCTTTGTTGTGTTCCAGTATCGCCACGCCCAGAGCACCGCTGGCGGCTCCGATAGCGGTGTAGAACACGAGTGTCACCCGTCTTGCTCCCGGAGCGTTCAAGCTCTTGACGTCGACGTCTCCGACAATCAGCACGAAGACGAAAACGATGCCGATTGCTGCACCGAGCACGGCACTTCCGACCGCGCCGACCTGCATCGTGGAGCGAATGCTCGCCGCGTAGCGCAAGTCTCCAGGGTAGATCGCACTCAGGACCCCGTGGCCGAGAGTAAGGCCGGCGAAGCCAATGAATGCGAACATACCCGCGATGACTGCTGCATCATACAGCAATACACCAAAAGCTCCCAACAGCAGTCCCCCACACTGCAGGTATCCGAGCATAGACTTGAAAGTCCAACTGCATCCGGAGCTTGTGCAGGAATCTGCATCTTCGTCACGTTGGGCCTCTACGTCCTGCTGCTTCTCTGTCGTCGCCGTCATAATTGCAGGTCTGGCTGCGCCTCTGGCAGGCAGAGATTTCTCGGCTGGCTCGCTGGCAGTGGGCATACTAGGTGCTGGGGAAATGGTTCATATCATACGACGGCAATTTGGCGGAGTGTCGCAACTTACTAGTTGACGGGGCGTCTCAGCTGGTACGGGTTCGATCAACCTGCAGAGATCCCGCAGCTCATACGATTCTTTATAGGCTGTGTACAACGCAGATACGCCCGCCCCTAGCCGCTGACTGAACCACCGCTATTGTTCTAGCTTCTCGTGTCTCAACAATAAGACGGACCCCAATATCTTCTGTGTTCTCCGCCGGTACGAGTCAAGAACCACAAGATGAATCGTGTCCGGAGCGCGCTAGGCCACGAACAATAGATCGTGACTATTCGTATGCGTCCGCTGTCTGCATCATCACCCATATCCTTGTCATCCTCAGCTTCGGCCGGCTTGGGCGATACGAGGCTACACGGACCCACCGCGCAGATATTCGGCGCGCAGTTATACAGATGTATCCTCCCCTGCGGCGTTCTACTTCTCGATTATGCCCCGTATGCAATTCCGCCACATTGATGCTGCGCCCCTAGTCGTACTAGGCTTCCTCCAGGCATAGTCCTCAGGCTTGGTAGAAGGGCCAAATCTTCATTGTACCTTGTTCAGCTGCACTCTGAAACCCCTGGACACCGAGACAGGACCAATGCTTGCTTCTGCCTTCAGACTGACGCGACGTTCACTACACCAATATCTTAGATCCTCGTCATGATTCGAAACTTTGCATACACATGCGATGAGGGTATGGGACATTTCTTGGTGTATTACCAGTGCGAGACACGTCCGAGTCCATTCTGTTCGTTGTATCAGCATAGACCACAATAAATGTGCCAGGCATACAACTGGCAGAGTCCACAGACAATGGCAAGGATCACGACGACGCCTCCAGTCCCTACTGCACCACACTTCAGCGCATGCACCGCATTTATCCCGCCCTCCACGAGCTCGCCCTTCCCGAACGACATCCACGTACCCAACGCTGACCCAAAAATGCCTCCCCCAAAGACTGCAATCAAGATCGCACATACAGCGACGGACGCGCCATACCGATGCAGCGGCCAAACGAGCTCCTCGAGCTCAAGCCCCGGTATCTCCACCCCCTGGACCACGTCCTGGAGTACCAAGCCCCGCGCGATCTCGTATCGCGCCTCGAGCTTGAGGAACACCCAGCTCGCCGTAAAGCACGCCGCTGCGATGACTGTCGTGCCGAGCACACCCGCGTCGACGATCCCGTCCGAATGGGTCGCGTAGGGCTCCTGCGAGGAGAGGATGACACCGCCGACGAGGACGCAGAGGCTCTCCCACAGGCAGCAGATGGTGATATAGGTTATGCATGTGGTGGTGTACTCCGCGGCGAGGCTGACGACGGTGCCCCAATCTGCCTTCCGTGAAGCGTGATGTGGCTTCGCCGACGCCAGTACGTCCGTTGGGGAGGGGGATGCTGGTGAAGGCGGGCTGCTTGCATTAGGATAGCCCCATTCCGGCGAAGGCGCAGGGGTATTACCCCACACGTACCACTCCACAGGAGTTGGTGGTTGAGGCCTAGGCATTCCATGGACCGCGAGCAATGGCAATTGCTCGCCCATCGGAAGTACAGAGTATTGTGGAGGAGATGGCGTCGTCTCTGCTGCCTCTAGGTCGATGGGAAGGCGAGTATAGCCCGCTGTCGAGTGTACGTAGTGTTTGACACCACGCATCGTAGACGGGGATGTTGTTCGTAGGAGGTAAGTCCAATGAGGAGACTGTCTGGGTCAATCGTTGCAGAGGCGTTCGACTTGGAAGTATTACTAAAGTCTCCAGCACGCCCCTACATATACGGAGCTGAACGGCTGTGCGCCAGACCCAGACACAGTCAAGTGCTGGTATGTGGAACCCTACGTCCCTGTCAACACGAGCATGAGCAGCGTTTGCGATACACCGATAGCCAAGTACCTTACCGCTATGGAACCATCCTGTAGCTGCGGTATGTGGTACCGCCCCACCTTGGTTGCTGACGACAGACGTGCAGTGCAATGTCGCATGAGCGCAATGTCGAATACGACGTGTCAGGCTATCTGTAGCAGTGTTGGTGTTGGTGCTGTATACGGTTCGAGTCAGCGATCAGGCGCTCACCGCGCCGCTCCTCAGATGACAATAGGACCACTGTGCAAGAAGCGATCTGCGACCAATGATAGAATCAGATGAATGAAGGCTTACCACTTGCGGAACCAAGATGAGAACCCGTCGAGCTAACCTCCCTCGCCTCCGAAGCAGCCGACCGCGAGGCCACCGCACGACGCCCGAAGAGCCCCTCCGACCAAACAAACCGCACAACGCGCTACTGAGAAGAAGCAAGCTTCGAACGGATACATTGCGATTTGGGATTAGTACAGATGGGTGGATAAGATGCGATTAGTGCACAGCCTTCGACTTTCCTTCCTTCTCTCCTCAGCATACCGACAACCCTCCCAGCCATTCTTCTTCAGCTCCACCTTCTCTCGGTTAGATCGTGTCATACCTCGCGGCTCACAGCGCCTCCTCGCTGCGGTAGAGCACGTCCATGCGCACGTAGTTGTTGTACACTTCCCCGGAGGCGAGCAGCGTGTCGCTCCCCGAGGCGCCGACTGTCCCGGGGTGGAGCCACGCCGCGAGCGGCTCGTGGAACTCGAGAAACGCGGCGGCTGTCGTGCGCATACATAGCGTGTCATGTCGAGATGAGATGAATGGGAGATATGGGGTGGCGTCGAGGGACATCGCGGGCCGGAGAAGAAGAGACGATCAGCGTTAGTACGATTTGATTCGAGGGAGTGAACGGGAGGGACGTACAGCCGGGCTCGTAGCCATCGCCCTGAGCACCACTGCCGCCGTGGATCTTCTTCCGCGCCGTCGCAGCCGGGCTCGAAAAGTTGTTGGAATAGAACTGCACGCCGGACTCTGCGCCACATGCCCGCTCAGTCATATTCTCTACGCGCGAGGAGTATAACCACTCACGGTTCGTGTAGAACGCGAGCTTCAGCCCGCTCTTGCCACTCTCGAGCTCGACGACGGCGTCCGCGTCCTCCTCGATGGGCGCGATGAGGTCGGTCTTCGGGGTAAGCTCGGCAGCCGGGAGACGCGCAGGCACGATGACCTTGCGCGGTGCGAGCAGGTAGAACTCATCTGCGCCCTTGCATTAGTATCGTCCGAACGCGCATACGGGTCGCTGCGGACTGTGGTGCAGGGTGGACAGGGACACACCGTATCCATTCTCCGGGAAACGCTCCCCGATCTTGCGCGTCGACTTCTCGGCGTGGGCGTGGTGCGTGCCCCCGACGGGTGCGAGCGTGCCCGTCGAGTTGGCGTCCGGGCCGAGCGCGACGGTGTTGTCCGACTTGATGGTCAGCTTGTGGTCTTTGATCGTCTGGCCCTGTTGGAGGGACGCATCGAGGTTGAAGCCCCAGTGCTACCAGTACACAAGACGTGAGATCCAATGTGCATTGCGTTACACGAGAAGACTGCGGGAACGCACCTGTGTAAGGTTGATCGGCGTGACCTTGCCCTCGTCCAGCAGCTTCGCGCGGTATACAAGCACAACGCTCCCAAGCTTCCAGAGCTTCCCGTCGTCGCTCGGCTTCCCTTTAGGCTGCGTCAAGCCCACGAGCACCTCGCAGAGTAGCTTGCCCGGGTACCCCTCCTCGCCGTCCTCGCTCACACGACTGAAGATCACGCTCGTCGGCGCGTCGCTCTGGAGGCGCGCGACCTCCGCAGGGGTAAACAGCTGCGCTGCGTACGGGTCGGGGAGGGGCTCCCATGGCTGGAGGTCCCAGCCTGTGATTCCGCCGTGGAGGGAGACGGTCGGGGACTCGTTGGAGGCGGCGGTGAGGGAGCTCGAGAGGCCGTTACGCGTGACAGTGTGGGTGCCGGCGGGGACGCGGTTTGCGTAGCGACCGATGATAGTGTTGGTGTATTTCTGGACGAGGTGGTCGGAGGGCGTCTCGGGACCGATGAGAATGTCGTGTGTCTAAGAGTAGATCATGTTGGCGTGATGGCGTGGGCGTGATCGAGGGCTCTCACCTTGCCGTCTGCCTGGACAAAGAGCCTGTGCAGTGTCAAGCCATATGGCAGGACCTCGAATGCCGTGAGATGGTGGTTCCGGGTCAGGATGCGCAAGCCATACCTCGAGCGCCAACGAAGGCGTCAGAGAGGGCAGGGCGAGGAGCATGGGCTCAAAGCCCGGGTGAGTTGCTGGCGCGGCAGTGGTCATCCTCGCGCAGGGTGGACGAGGGTTGCGCTGGATGGTGCAAAGGGGGAGACGTTGGCGGTAGGGAAGAGGGAGGGAGTGGCGGACGGGCACTCGGAGCATCGCGCCTTGGCCTCGGCGTGACTGGGGCGGGCGCCTCCATCTTATCTCCTAGCCACGCGTCGATCTTCCGAGATCGCTCCGCAGATCCCGCAGATCCATCGATCCCCGGCGCCCCGCGTCCCCGCCTCCGGGACCGCAAGCAGCGTGAACCTGGCGTGAACCGCTGTGAATGCCATCAATCCCCTCCTCAAAAACCTTGAGCGTGGTCAAGGCGGAAGGTCTCCGACGGCCAGAAGACCAAAAAGATGACAAGAACGGGATTCGAACCCGTGCCTGGATACCCAGATGAGAAGACCCGCAGGAGCAGGCAAGCTTTCGCTTGAGTCACACGCCTTGGACCGCTCGGCCATCTTGCCGTTCGGAAGCTCAGCTTGTAAGACACACATTAACTTAAGAAGCTGGCTCAGTCACGAAGACCCAAGGCACGTCTACTACTACTACCTCACCCCAACTTCACCCCATCCTCAGATTGGTTGTCACCTACATGTTGTGCGGCCCACATACTTAGAGCAGGATCACTTCCAAACAAACTCTCCACACAGCTAAACTGTCACACTGAGCCCACTGTCGTTGACTGACGACTCACTATGTGCGCAGGCCCTCTCCGAAGCTCGAGCTCTACTTCTCGAGTTACGCAAGAACACGCCCAGAGGTACAGTATGCAACCAAGCGACATCGCCTCAAGCGCCCCGCGGACCCCAAGACAAGGCCGAGCAAAGGCCGAGGGTTGAAAGCCATCCTCCCGCTGCCGGAGGGCGACGAGCAGGTGCCATCGGGCAGTCAGATAGCTGGCTCGATGCGCTCCTCATTATACAACCATTCCAATATTCCTGACGGCAAGGTGAACAGCGTATATTGCTCCCCATAGGTTCTACAGCCACTATGCAAAGCTCGACAAATACCAACTCACCTTCTCCGGTCCGACACCGATCCAGCATCTCAAACGCCTTTCCGACGCGCTCGGCGGGAAGGTGTAGCTCTAAGCCAAGCGCGAGCGCTGCAATCCCAGGCTCAGGCTGGCCTTCACGGGAACAAGACACGCCAGCTCGAGTACACCGTGCCCGACGCGCTTACAGGTACATACGCCACGCTCGTCTTCATCGGGGGTCCAGCCGGACGCGCCAGGTCGCGGTCGCGGCGGACCTCGGCATGAAGTGCATGCTCGTGTATCCCTTTTAGGGGATGGTTGAGTTTTGGGACTGCGTGAAATTGATGTTATTCTGGCCAGACGGACATGTCGGATTGTCAGTGCGTGAACGATGCTGATAGAAGCTTTTGACCTGGCTACGAAACATCGCCCGCCTCACATCGACGTTCCAAATCTCAGTATATGCATAATGACATAGCTGCGATGGTACGACTGTCTCAAGAAAACCTGCGGCGCGAACACGCTCACGCCCCCTCTCCATCATTTCCACGGCAAATCCCAGAAGTATCGAACGAACCCTCTACAGCATGTCCTCCGTCCAACCCTGCCAATGCTGATACCGTGCACCCCCACCGGCACGCAAGGAGAATGACTGCAACATGACTGGCACCCGATCGCGGCTATGCGGGTCCGGGAAAAGGCGGGTCCTCTGCGCTCTACACAGGAGCAATATCTCTCGCATCTCCTGTGCCGTATCGGGGTTCACGGAGCCGAGAAGAGCTGGAGACAGGCCCGCGATCCAGATGTCATACGAGACGAACATCCTCTGCTGGTCATCGACATTCTCCTTCTTCGCGATACGGAAACAACTGTCTTCCCGAGGCACGTCAAAGGCAAACACGATGCGGATAAGCGGCTTGTTTGGCGCGTAGTCGGGAGCCCAGATATCGAGGGCATAGGGATCCATAGCACGGAACACCTCTTCTGCTGGCCGTCCGTCGCTCGAAGTGACCGCTTTCAACAAGATCAAGTTGGCCTTGCCCTTTTCCGCGCGTCCACCTTCGACCATCGGCAGGACAGCGTCGATCGGGCAATCGAGCTGCTCGCAACGAACCGCGGCACCACGGGCTAACAGCGCATGCAGATATTTCAGCTGTAGAACGCCACGAGGGACAACAACGAAGTGGTTGAAGTACATGTGGTAGTCAATCAGTTCTCGCTCGAAGTCTGTGAGCAGGACCTTTTGATCTTCAGGTGGCTCGTAGTAAATGGCGCGGTCTGAGCGGGAAGCATCCATGAACGGGAACATGACGTGGAAGAATTTGACTGCGTCCATAATTCGCCCACTGCGTCCGTCAGGTCCAGGTGCAGGATGGCCGTGAGCGTCAGGCTCGCCGACAGTGGCGTCGCGCGCCAGCACCAGCAGCAGACAAACCAGCAGCCGGTCACCGTCCGCTGCGGCGATCGGAGTATCCACGAGAATAGTCTTCAAAGCAGCGGGCAGATTAGTTGCGCACTGTCGTTCAGCGTAGTACGCTGCCTCGGCGAACAGTGGTTCAGACCCGGACTGCGATATCGCCTGCGTGCCCGCTCCGTCTCGATCCACCCTCTGGAAGAAGCACAGACGCATGTGATTCTGGACTTGGTTCATTGCAGCGAGCTGCTCGGCCCCGACACGGGTGTCGATCTCGAGCGCGAGCCGCTGAGAGACGCATGCTAGCAATTGCGCAGAGGTAATGTTGCTATGGCCGAGGTCGTGTGCATGCAAGAGTTGCTGCGCCGCGAGCGGAATGATATTCTCCCTCCATTGCTGGTTGCCTGAGTCCCAGAGACTCCCGAAGCTACAAGGTGTTCAGTTCTACCAGACACGAAGTGTAGTTCAAAGCGCACCCGATTCGACCTAAATGGCACATGTATTCGTTGGAGGCTACTTCTGTCAAGGAGAATCCGTCGGCTATGCTGATCTTGGTCGCTGCCAGATCAAACTGGAGTTCCATCCACGGAGGCAGAGGCCCGACCTGTATGCCCGTCTCTTCATCCACATATACCGAAGACATTGTCCGCACTGTCTCAGACAACAACGACGGCGAGCTTGACAAGAAGAGCCCGAACACGGGGCAGCGCGAAGCCAACTGGGTGAAGACTCGTTTCAACTCGACTGCAATGTTGCACTTCGGTGTTTCAGCGAGATCGATACGGTTCAGCGCCGTCGAGCCATCTGTTAGGTGCTCCGCATTATCAAAGGCAATTATCAACGTAGGATGATACTCGTCTAGGACGTGAGACGGCGACGCGGCCCGAGCTTTGTCAGAGTGTGAAGCATCGGTGACCTGGTTTAAGTAACGCATCAAGCGGTCGCAAGCAATCTTCACAGGAGATATGTGATGCACTGTCTTCGCGCGCCTTTGATGACAGTGACCCTAAAGATTGCGTCAATACGCCGCACTTATCACAAATCAGAGCACTCAAATTTGATCACTCACAAGAAACAGCTTGCGCGCTAAGCTCAAGACATCGCCGAAGAATGCCTCCCGATATGGCCCATGAGCACCCCACCTCATCCCTTCCTGCATTTTGCTGCGAAAAGCAAAACAAAGATGGACAACGCCGCTGTCCGCTTCCTTATTGAAGTCACGCTGAAGGACAGTCAGGGTATGTTCGAACAGTGCTTGAACGAAGGCGTTGCATCCATCGACGACAGCATCTGCGGCATGGAATCCAATCAACCAGTTCAGGATATGGAGATCAGGAGGCGGGTATGGAGCTGAGTTGAAGGTAAGCTTATGAACACTATAGAAGGAGGAACAAATAGTACGTGTCCCGTAATCTCGAGCACCGACACCTGAGCCCAAACTGATAGGAATGACCAAGTATTGTTTTGCTAACTCGTCCAACATTCGAGACTTCCCGGTCCTAGATGATTGGACGATTGATAAGTCATGGACCGTCGGGCGATCTGGCCACCAATTGTACTGTAGGTGCCGCCTGACGTCCATATGGATTTGGCCCCTGTATGGCTGCTCCCAAGCCTCTTGCACGGCTGTTGGATAGTGAGTTTGACGCATACATTATTCACGAGAATAGCGACATACCCAGCTTCTCGTACTCGTGTACCGCTACCATGTATCAGAAATGACAGTAGGGTTTACACTTCTGAGACGTACTTCGGTGGCGTCGCAATAATGGTGCTACGAGCAGCGTCACCAACGTGTTGAGCACAACGGTAGAGAACACACCTCGATCTATAAATATGTCCCATTTGCCACTCTCGCAAGCCCGGAAAATAAGACGGAACCATTCCCCGAGTTGTTCATCCGAAAATCGTGCAGCAGGATTGGCAACGTTACGAGGCGACCCGGGGTCGCATTCAGTCCATTCCGGTACAACTGTATCTCTGATAGAAGGCACATAACGAAGCAGGAGCCGTGTAACCCACTTCGCACCTGGTAGAACCTGCTCATGAGTGTGAGGGAGATCGTGACGCATATAGGTGACCCGAAGTTCCGTTCCACTGAAAAGCCGATTGAGCTGCAGCTCAAAGACATCATATTCAGCTGGTAATGGCGCGGGAAAGAATGAAGATTCGAGGGCATCCGCTCGAGAGGTAGGCATCGATTTTGACTGAAGTTTGGGAGTCGAACGGTTATGGCAACTTGAAGTAGGACCACAGGGTGGCCCAGCTAATAGGCGGATCCCGCCGCCCGCGTCGAACGATGGTCACATGGTCGTTACCCGCTCCCCTTTCCGAGTCCTGGGGGGGCCATGCACTGGCATTTGCGGCCTTACGACACCTCCGCTGTGCTGATTTTGATGTGTAGAGTGCAATAATGAACTGGGCGAGCCCTTCCTCAACTTGACTTGACACAACTCGACACCCAATCAACGATCAATGTTCATATTCAACGTTCAGCAAGGGTTTGTATACGTTTATACATATTCAGCTACTACCGTGACCGACACTGGCAAACCGACAGAGCGAACAGCTGCAGAACTTCAAAGCAGAAGCAGTAAAGGACAGGGTTAGCATGTTGGCACGTGCTCGAAAGACTCAGGCTCGACGTACGCAAGTTTCTGTCTATCATCACCTGGTACCAGTGTTCCGTGACCGCGACGCCTGTTCTGTACTAGCCGAGCTCCTTGCTGGAGGTGGAACGGAGGGATTCGGGTTCTTGAGTCCGAATACATCCTCCGAGTCGGTTTGGCCCTTTCCTTTTGTTTTAGTGGCGATGTCATGACTTGCTGACCGGGGTAACACCCAGGAATCCCAGTGGTCAGGGTGAGTTCCACCGCCGGCGTTCATCGACCTTCGCAAGGCCTTTGGACGGGCATTAAGACCCTTGTACGGCTCGTTCCAGCCATACGATGCCTGCAGCAGTGCATCCCATAAATCCTCTGCTTGGGGTGGTATTGGAGTGAGGACTCCGGATGCTAGACCTGCAACCCAGAAGTCGTAAGCCTCAAATTTCGCCTCAACGCCATTGATAACTGATGTTTTTGTCTTCTTGACCACTGTCAGCCGGGCATCTTCCCGTTGAACGGCGAGTGCAAAAACAATGCGAATGACTGGCTTGGTCGTCTTCGCGGTGACATGATCCCATATTTTCAATGCGTAAGGATCCATTGCATCGAAAAGGGCATCGTCAGGCTGTGCAGTATATGTCGCATCGTTTTTCGTTTGCACCAAAATGGGAATCAGATTGGATGTGTGCGCTCTTGTGCCATGCATGCCCATCAAGACGATGTCCACTCCCGGCTGATTGTTTGCACATAGCACAGCTGCTCCGCGGGCCATATAGCCTAACAAGTAGTCTTGACGTAACAGGGCCCATTCATGGACCTTGATGAAGTGGTTGAAGTGCATGAAGCATCCCTTGAACTCGTCTATGAACTGTCTCACGATTTTGGTGGGTTTCGCAGTGCATTTCAGTAGGTTTCCGAAGAAGTCAGGGATCGCAAGTATGCGGCTGCGAGCATCACTGGGAGTTATGAGGTGTGTGGCTGCCTCTACTACTGTTGCATCCCTTGCCAGTGTCAGAAGAAGAAGTGTTAATAGTTCTCCCCGATCGCCTTTGTGGACAGAGAATCCATCGAGTATGAGCTTCAAAGCTTCTGGAGCATTGAATGATGGGTTGGCCATGACACTGTATGCTGCTTCAGCCAGTATTGGCTCTGACCCAGTGATTGAGTGCATTGATTCAAAACTTTCATCCATCTGTAGGCAGATCCGCATATGTCCCTGTACTTGCTCTCGCTCATACTGCTGGGCAGCATATGTTGTACATTGAAATTCCAATGCCAGGCGCTGAGAAAGGCAAGCAAATAGCTGGCTCGGATGCCAGTGTTGAATTGTATCTGCTGAATTGATGAGCTGAGAGCGCATGAGCTTGGTCCTTGCGAAGTCTATGATTCCCGCCTGTATGCCAGGATCACGAGTGTCCCACATGCTGCCGAACCTAATGAAGTACAATCACACTTCGTTAGTTGACTGTGCAGCTTCCTAGTTGTGGCGTCCCTTAATCCTCGGGCCCGGTATGCGCTGTACCCAGTCTCTATTCAGAGGGACTGTCTACACGTAGCATACATGGGGCGATGAGGATGGTAAAGGACTGAGGTCTCGTAGGTGCGCTGGCGCGCCATACGAGCCCTCGAACAAACATGAACAAGCGTACAAGATAAGATATACCGTAACGGGAATATCCGTTACACCCTCCCCCACTGGACACGACCACGGGTCCCAGAGATAACCAGACAAATGAAAAGAAAGAAGGAATTGTACACACGACAACACAACGGTGGTAGTGATTGGCAATACAAGGGTGGTGCCATACTGTAGACAACGACAAACTACTTCGTGTCAGTGAGCAGCATGGCCGTCCACTCTCGTCATACATAACTCGATGGAGTTATGCAGCCTGCAATAGTGATGGCGACAGCTGTCGGCAACGAGAAAATGGTGACCTGTCACTGTGTCGAAGAACTGTGAAGTTCTCCAGACACATCGCGGACGATGGTGATAGGGATGTACCTCAAGCATGAAGCTCGATCTCTAATATGCCCCATGAGCCCGATGCGCGACCATGCTGGACACGACCGACGTGATTCTCAAATCACCGTCGACCTCCTCATCATGGACGTCGACGGAGAGGCCCAACGTCTGTGCGTGGGCTACAGACCGACCGGATACATCGGTCGAGCAGGCAAACTCGCCGATTGTACCGCGATGCATCGTCGTGCCGGGTGCGACTCGCAGGTCATCCCCCGGGCCGACTGTACCACTGTTGTATACAGTGACTGCCACGACAACCAATGTGGTTGTCGTGGTCATCACGGGTGGTGATTGCGGGGTGGGGAATGGTGGCACGAATAACGAGGGTACGTCCAATAAGGACGTACCTTTGCTTTTCGAGCTCGCAGGCTCGTCTTCTTCGCCTACACCGCACCCTTCCTCCTCTCCTTCTGCCTGACCTTCCTCGTCTGATTCTCCTGGTTCCGCATCCTCGTCCACATTTCCTCCATCCTTCCATTCCTCGCGCGATCTCCGGGGTGCATGCGAGGTCGCCGACTCGTGGCGCCTGTCGTAGTCGCCATGGGTGTCGAGGGCCGCGGGGAGGTCGATAGGGGTTAAAGTGTGGGTCCTTGGGAGCGAATCCTCGGCGAGAACTGTAAATTTCTCGCCGAGTTTAGGGTCGGAAAACCATTCTGGTCGGTCGGGGTCCGTAGGCGCCGGCTGCTGCACTACACTTAGTGCAGCAACTCGGTCACGGTCTTGAGCTCGCGCGTCCGTTAGGGCTACGCAATCGTCGAGCTGCGCCGTCGCCGGGGCGCTTGGTTCACAACGAGAGTGGTGGTCGCTCAACCGGTCGAGGTCGAGGTCGTATCGCAGGCTTCCCAGCTGAACCGTGAATGGTTCAGCTGTCTTGACGGGACCGGGGGCTTGCACTTCCTGTTGGGAGTGCAAGTCTTCTGGACGGGCAGCCGCGCGTGAGTGGGTACCATCAGGGACGGAAGCGATGCCGTTCCACGACCCTGTCAGTTGAACTACTGCGGGTTCAACTGCACCGGATGTTCGCACTTCCGTGATGTAGTGCGGACCGTCTTGATGCGGGGCCGGGCGTAACCTGTCGCTGCCAGACGGAAGGTCGAGGAATTCACGGAAGAGGTCGTCGGGGTCATCCCGCAGCTCGGCCAGTTGTACCACTGGTGGTTCAACTGCGCTGAAGCAGCCAGGGACCCGTACTTCCGCGGGGACGTACAGGCTGTCCTGCGCCGTGCGACTAGCCAACGGGAGGTCAGTAATGATCGGAGGATGGTGATCACTGACGCCGTGTACGTCAAGCGGCGGGCTAGACGTACACGCCACATCGCGTGCAGTCAAGGTTGAATTGGGCACGTTGGGCATGCATCGCTGCATGTCCATCGTGCCGCCTTGCGAATTGGAGGTTATGACCGCGAGGTCGTCCCCTAGCGTAGGTATGCTCTCTTGCAGAGCGGGCCTGATCCCGGGCAAGGAGGATGTCGAGATGGGTACGTCCATCAGGGGCGTACCTTCATTTCTCGATCCTTCGTGCTGGTCGGTAGCGTGTACGTCAAGCCTTGAGCTCGGCATACTCGCTATCCGATGGTCGGTGATGGATGGGTGGGGCACGTCGGACGTGCGAGACTGCATGTCCGCCGTGTCGTCTTGCCAGATGGGGAGCCCGTGGACGACCTGGAGGTCGTTCCCTAGCACAGTCGTACCTTTTTGCGGAGCGGACGGTACGACTTTGCAGTCGTACCTGGGGACAGCAACGCCATCTTCGTGGCCTCCCATGCGCACGACAAACGTTCCGTTTGTCGCTGCAGCTCTGGGCACGTCCGTTGTTACGCAGGGCACGTCGGACGTGCAGTTCTGCGTGTCCACCGTGTCGCCGTGCGTACTGCCCGGTACAACCTGTAGGTTGTACCAGGGCCTGTGCGTGCGATGTGCGTGGCCAACAGAGCGTACGACGACCTTCACGTTCGTCAATACGCCTGTTGGCGCGGTCATAGGTGGCGGCGAGTGTGGCACGTCGGACGTGCCGTGCTGCGCGTCCGTCGTGCTGTTGTGCACTGACAAGGGTACGACCCGCGGGTCGTTCCCTAGGGCTGCTGTCGCTGGCGGGGGTACTGGCACAGGCGGAGGCGAGTCGGGTACGTCCAGTGAGGGCGTACCTGCGATTTGTGAGCCTTCTTGCTCGCTTTCTCTACTCGCCCCGCACCCTTCCTCCCTCTCTCCCTTCGTGCCTTCCTCGCACCCTTCTCGTTCCTTCGGGATCTCCTCGCAGCCTCCACGATTCGCGTTCCTCGTGGTCCTCTCGGTCTTACGGCTCGGCGCTGGGCTTGAACGCGCGGTGTTCAAGTCCTGAGTCGCGCGGCTGGGTTGCGTGTCACCAGAGTCGCGGTAGTGGTCGCCAAAATCAAGGCGCGAGACGAGGGGAAAGAGACGAGGAGCCGGGGAAGAATAGGGTGGTGATCTGGTACCGCGAGGTACCAGTTCGTTGGTCGCCTCTGACTGAACTGGCAGCAGTTCAGCCAGGCAGTCGCGAACGCGAGTTCGCACTCGCGTTGGGACGGCACGCGCGTCTGGTTCGCCAGACGGGCGCTCGATGTGGCTGCCCAGAGAGTGGAAGGGGTCGAGAACGAGGGTTCGGTGGTGGCGGTCGAGCGTAGTGCGGTAGGCGCTAGCGCTCGGGTCGCTCTCCACGGGCTCGTGACACCCAACGCCTGTAGCGTTGAGCACGTCGCGCGTCGCGTCGAGCAGGCTGCTCGTCATGGCGCGCACGTCGATCGACACAAATAATATATTTCTTGTGTCGCGGCTCATTTCTGAGCTCGCGACGAGTGTATCTACGCACGCGGGCTCGTTCCCGCTGTACACAGTACTGTTGTAGTACTGTGTGCCTATACCCTCCCGAGCGCGGAGATGCGTCGACTCGACGCACCACTCGTTCGGCTCGGATGCGAGCTCGATGACGGACGTGTCTTCGAGCTCGGCGCGTGCATCATCCTTCGGGGTGATGCCTAGCTTCGTCGCTTGGGCCGGGGCACCTCGGGATGGCAGTGCCTCCAGGTGGCATTGAGCAGACCCGACGGCGGTCTCGGGCTGCTCAGAGCGCTGTGCGTACCCGGCTTCGCCTTGGCGAATGACGGGTCCCGGTACGACCTGAAGATCGTCCCGAGATGTGATCGTGCTGTCCTCTCCATGATCACTTGTGATCATGAAGGCGGAGATGAGGAGACGGTGGCCCGACGAGCCGTGGGTGTTGCGCGCGACAGGTTCTTCGTTCACCGTGACGCTCGCTAGCGTGGGCACGGACACGAGTACGGTTGCAGCAGGCGTCGAGGTAAGTACGTCCGCCGAGGGCGTACTTGTACTTCTCGACCCTCTGTACCAGTGCTCAGGCTTGCCGGTAGCGTGTATATTGAGCCATGAGTTCGACGTACCCTCTACGTCGCGACCGTCGTTCGTGACCGAGCAGGGTACGTAGATTGTGGGATGGCGCACGGTCGTCGTCTCGCTTTGCCATTTGAAGAGTACGACCGCGAGGTCGTACCGTAATGGGAGTGGAGACGGTAGCGAGGAACTCGAACGCTCGGGTACGACCTGAAGGTCGTTCTGGAGCATGATTGTATTGTGTTCGTGGCCAGCGGTGCGCACGACAATCTCCGTGTTCGTTGATACGCACGCTGGCTCAGGCGATGGCAATATAACTGGTGGGGCATTGGGTACGTCCAGTATGGGCGTACCTTCAAGTTTCGAACCCGCTACTCGACAGCTAATGAAAGCTGTCTGGGAAACGTCGGACGTGCAGCGCTGCGCGTCCGCCGTGTCGCCTTGCAGGTTGGATGGTACGACCGCGAGGTCGTCCCGTATCGCAGGTGTACTGCCTCGAGAAGTGGCGGGTATGACCCTTAGGTCATACATGCCATTGTCGTGGCCTACAGTGCGCACGACGAGGTTGTTGTTCGTTGCTACGCCCGTTCGCGAGGGTACTGACGATAGCATATGCGGAGAGTTGGATACGTCCAGCATGGACGTATCTTCGAGGTCTGAGTCTGCTACCCGATGGCGGGTGGAGGCTGTACGGGGCACGTCGGACATGTATTGCGGCGTGTCCGCCGTGTCACCTTGTAGCATAGACGGTACGGCCGTGAGGTCGTCCCGTAGTGCCAGTGTGCTGCCTTGTGAAACGAAGGGTACGACCATCAGGTCGTCCCGCAACACGAAAGTGCCGTCTTCATGGCCTGCGGCACGCACAACGACCTCTGTGGTTGTCGATACGTGAGCCGGCGTGGGCGCCATGGCATGACGTATTGATCTAGGTACTTCCGTCGAGGGCGTACCTTCACTGATCGATCCTTCGTGTGGGTCGGTCATGACAGGTCGGGACAAGGCGGGCACGCAGCACCGTGCATCCGCCGTGTCGTCTTGCGAAGTGGACGGAACGACCGCGAGGTTGTCCCGCAACGTGTACCTGCCGTTTCCGTGACCAGTAGTGCGCACGACGGCCTTCTCGTTCGTCGACATGCACACTGGCTCGGGTACTAGCGAGAGAACCGGGGAAGGACTGGGTGCGTCCAGTATGGACATACCATCGAGCTTCGAGTTCGCTACGCGACGGCTGGTGAATGCTCGATGGGGCACTTCGGACGTGCAATGCTGCGCGTCCGCCGTGCCGCCTAGCGGAATAGACGGTACGACCGCGAGGTCATCCCGTGTTACAGGCATACCGCCTCGAGAAGCGGAGGGTACAACCCTCAGGTCGTCCCGCAACGCATACGTGCCGTCTTCATGGCCTGCGACACGCACGACGACCTCTGTAGTCGTCGATACGTGTGCCGGTGTGGGCATTGGAGAAGGAGGCGGTGGCGAGTGGGATACGTTCACCAAGGGCGTACCTGCGTTTATTGAGCCTCTCTGCTCGTCTTTCATGCTCGCCCCGCACCCTTCCCCCTCCTTCCTTTTCCTGATTTCCTCGCATTCTCCTCGCTCCGTGTCTCCCGCGTTTCGCGCAGCCTGGTTGCCTGGTGCTGGGCTTGCACGCAGGTCGTGCGAATCCTGGATCGTGCGACTGGGTTGTGTGTCGCCAGAGCCGCGATGGGTGTCGCCAGAGTCATGAGACTCGAGAGGAGAGTCTCCCGAGTCGAGATGCGAGACGCGAGGGCGGAGGGAAAGGATCGGAGAGGAAGGCCCTGGCGGTCTTGTACCGTGAGGTGCCAGGTCGTCGGAGGGGTTGCCGACCGCGAGGTGGCGGTCGGTACTGACCGGTCGATCCTTCAGCTGAACCGCGAAGGGTTCAGCTGTCCAAGGACAGTCCGCGGCTCGCACTTCCGTTGGGAAGTGCGAACCGGGTTGGAACGCGGTTGCACGCGGGCGGTGGCGGCCAGAGTGAAGGTCGAAGTGGCGGTTAGCATGGTGAGGAGTACTTCCAGCGCTAACGCTGAGAGTGCTCGCTCTCGGCGCGGGCGCGTGACGCTCGACGCGTTGAGTGTCGAGCTCGATGCTTGCCGCGTCGGGCACGTCGTCCGGCGCGATCATATATTTTGAGTCGCGGCTCATTTCTGAGCACGCGACATGTGGATCTACGAGCAGAAGCTCGCCTACATCCCGGGATGCGACGTAAGGTCGCGTCCCTATGCCTTCCCGGGCGTAGGGCCGAGTCGCCTTGTCGGACAACTGGGGCTTGGGCTCGGTCTCGGCGACGGCGGCGTCGTCGAACCGGGTGCGTGCACCACTCTTGATGGTGGTACCGAGTTTGGTCAGCTCACTGGGAGCAATCGGAGACGGAGTCTCCGGACATCTCTGAGCAGTCTCGATGTCGGGCTCGATCTGCTCAGGACGCGGCCCCTTGGGCTCAGACGCGGGCTCAACAGCGGCAGCGCTGTCGATCTCTTTGCGCGCACCACTCGTCGGAGAGCTTTCCAGCTCCTGTGGCTCGATTGGAACAGGCGGAGTCGGGTTCTCCTGGCAGCTCTGAATGGGTTCGACCTTGGGCTCGAACAGTTCTGCGTGTGCTGTGCGTTCGACCTCGCGGTCGGACGGTGCCTGCTCCGCGAGTGCTCCGGACGAGTTCTCGGGGTCGGAGAGCTCAGTCTGGCAGGTCGTGCGACGGTGACGTCTGGACTCGTTGTCCTGCTCCACGGAGCATCTGAGCGATGTAATAGCATCCTCTAGATGCTTCATCGAGTCATCGAGTGTCCGGAACCGCCTATCGGGGGTGGCTCGTGTCTCGACCGGGATACTCTTCAAGAACTTCGCAAAACTGCCAAGAATTCCATCCACCTTCGCATCGACCTTCGCGCGGTGGGCCTTCCGAGTACTACGCGAGTGCTTGGGAGAGTGGGTTGTCGATCCAGCCATCTTCTTGAGTGGTTGCGAAGTCGACTAGATTTTGATGTAAAGCATAGAAATTCGAAGTTTCCAGGTTGTTGCCTAGAGTAGATAGTCCCCAGAACAGAAGCTGTTCTGGAGCGCAAAAAAGTGTGGCGTCCCTTAATCCTCGGGCCCGGTATGCGCTGTACCCAGTCTCTATTCAGAGGGACTGTCTACACGTAGCATACATGGGGCGATGAGGATGGTAAAGGACTGAGGTCTCGTAGGTGCGCTGGCGCGCCATACGAGCCCTCGAACAAACATGAACAAGCGTACAAGATAAGATATACCGTAACGGGAATATCCGTTACACTAGTACACAGACATTTGCTCACAATGGGCGGCCGAGATGAGACATATACTCGTTGCTGGTGACCTCGGAGAGATCGAAGCCATCTTCAAGAGAGATCTTCCGTGCAAGCTGATCAAGTCCAAGGTCACTGAACGAAGGGATTTGAGACAGCGCTCCCTGGAGGATGCGACTTGATGGGTCTTGCATCCGAGAGGTTGCGAGCTTTCCAACATCACCAGTGGTTGCCATGAACACAGCAAAGACGGGCTGTCTCTTAAGACTGCGCAAGACTGAACGTATCTCGCTGAACACGGACCATTTTCTGGTCTCAACTGGTTTGACTCGGATATCTTGATTGCTCACTTCTATGTTAGTGAGGGTATGTGCCTCGTCAAATGCCAAGGTCAGTAAAGGATAATGTGCATCAACTGCATGGCGAGTTCGGGAGCCGGCACCACGAGATGTGGCAATACTGCTCAATCGTTCCATGAGTTTGTGGCACGGAATTTCCGGCGGGAACAGCCAGTCTTCAGAGCTCTCGCCATGAGATTGACTTGTTGTCCGATGAGCAATCACCAGAGCATTACTACTGGGACTAGAATATTCATAGTGGTTGGTCTAGTCACCGTAACGGTTATCAACAGGCACAGGTGGATATCGTACAGAACTCAGATGCTCACTTTGAGATTGTCCGTAGCACGCGAGATAACATCTTGGAAGAATCTCACATGGTATCCTCCATAATTGCCGTATTGCATTCCTTCTTGCATCTTATCACGGAATGCAGAAGAAAGATTGGGAATGCCTTGAGCACTCTGAGCAGCGAGGTCATTGTCAATGATGTAGAGTATGTGTTCGAACAAGGCCTGTATGAAAGCACAGCATCTCTGATGTGTGTTCTCTCTTGATTCGGACTGTGCAGTCAGCCACGTGAGGACTGCTCCGTCTGGCGGAGGATGCGCAAGACCTGTATCATAAAATGCGACCATAGTCAGTAGCGAGACATGGCATGAAGCAGTCATCAACATCTACCGTGCCGTCCATGTTCTGCGCTCATGGTACTCCTAGTGTTTATCGGGATTACGAAGTGCTTCTTTGCGAGCTCATCTATCATCCTAGATTTGCCCGTCCCATTTGACTGCACTATCACTATATGATGAGCGTAGCGAGTGAACGCATTCGGCTCGCAGTGAGTATGCATATGATCCCAGAGAGCCTCGTGGGCTTGTCCGTGATAAGGCTGATGCCATGCACTCATTACGGCAAGTGTCTCTGATTCCGGCAAATTATCGTCCATATGCACTGAAAGAGTGATAAGTCAGATTACCAATGGCCTCTTTTGGGTGACGCACCTAGAGTCTTTCGTAGAAGTGCTAAGATGGAAAGCCATGCAAATACAGGCTTGAGTACCATTGTCCAGTATCGCCACGACAAATTAAAGCACGCACAATGTGACATCAGTTCCTCCCAGTTCCCAGTTGAGGCGCAGCCCACACAACTCGTACGGCACATATCATACCAATGACCTTGCTTGCCGAGAAAATCAAATTCGTCCTTATAGCCCCGAGTAGCAATTGGCTTGCACCATATATCTTGCACAGTGTCGGCATGCCCTATGGATATGAGCACTGCGGCAGCGCTGCGTAAGACACGGGCAACGTCCTCCATGTCTGGTTCCCATCCGAGATTATCTCCATTAACCTTCTCAATGAAGTATTTCAATTCTTGTGCCATGTCGCTGTTGATGTCGTCCAGAATCTTCCGCGTCAAGACAGGCAGACCATCGTTCATATGTGACAGCGTGCGAGGAGCTTTGGGAGATTCAGACTTCTGAGCTTTGAGCGTTTGAGAGAGACTAGCAGACGTCGCCATGATTCAGAAGTCAGTAGTGTAGACATCGAGACACTCACTCGTTTATATATCTATGCCTCTTGAGTGTTGTGGCGTAAGGATAATCGCGGAAAAGTCAGAGGGTTAAGGTAGTTGTTGGTAATGTCAGTCGTTACACTGCCTCGTATTGATGCTATAGCCGCTTACAAGTGACTCGCTAATTGTGTCGAGCGGTCTTGATGTAGCATCCTTAACGCGATCTCACAACCATCAGTGTGCAGCACCTGTAGGTAGCGTGTATCACGATACAATTGCCCAACAGGGTGTTTTGTGCTGTGACATAGTATGCATCGGTATAACACATACCAGTCGCTCGGCACCACCGGCGAGGACCAGCCAAGGCGCGCTATCATCTTGAGCCCGTCCTAAGGGCGTGACTTTATTGTTCACGTTGGACAGAAAGATGCTACGAAAGACTCACGTCGGCTGCGGTAAGTATCGTAGCATACACACTAACCCAAGGACAATAGTAGTTTCCCGCGCTTGTACGGCGTCGCGCAACTACATGTTATATGCGTGGACGTTCACCACGGGCATTGATGCCGTGAATGGTACTTACAGGATATACGCGAAATGCACTTTCAATCACACGTCATATTGCTCGTCAACTGTTGTTTGATGTAGAATGCATACGTGGTAGCCCTTGGGTGTGGTGCTCTGGTCTCGCAGCGTTGAAGGGAAAGAGCCTGAACCACAATGCCTGAACGCTCCAAACCTTAGCCTGAACCAAAGAAACCAAAGCCTGGGCAACAGCTCACCGGTAGGATGTGCCAGTGGGCGCTGTTCTCGCGGAACACAATACTGCATTCTTTTTGTCGTGTCCGCGGGACGTGGCTGATACCTCCATTCGCTATATCATTGTAACCTATTGTTCCTAGGAAAATTGTTTTGACGTCACAAGCTCAGGCTCCCCTGGACATCGATAGCACACAAGGGCATACCTGATTCTGTTTCGAATCGTGTTTCGTCCTTGGCAGTGATTAAGCTGAAAGTACCACATACATGATCGGGGTTGCCGGTGATGGGTGCGGCGAAGACTGCGAAGCTAATAGAATACAGATCATCTTGTTCTTGGTCGCAATAACGAAATCGCGCCTCCAGAGCTTCAGCAGAGACATCCCATATCACGTTAGTACATGATTGACGAATGCCAGCCGGGGTGAACTCGCGAGTCATGCTTACAGTTCAGAGACGGTGTTCAATTGTTGCCCTGGATCGACAGATCTGCGTACTCGTACTCAAACGAACTCGCTCGAGTCCCGTTGCACAAACTCAACAGACTCCGCCTCTCTGGTCAGCCGATTGAAACTTCATTCCAACTGAGCGACCGAGCACGGCGCATATCTGACTGAATTCCCTGCTTAGTGCAACGACCGAAACAAATGTGTCAGGAACACCACGTACATCGAAGTCACAAGCATGTGTATCCGGCAGCTTGAGAGTGCTTCATATGTGTCAAATGAACAAGCGTACGCATACTGTGAGCACAGCTGGTTGAGGTGATAAAAGGCGCCACTCGCTCTAATGTATTCTTTTACGCAGAGAACTAGTACGATAACAGTGCGTACCAGGACTTGCCACGCCGAAAACACCAAGACTAGAGGACAATCACACGGTCAGCCTCATGATCTCAGGTATACGCTCAAACATACCTAAGTCGAGTATCGGCACCGTGCGCAATTGAGACGCGAGATCCGCGGGACTGCCCGATCGCCATAAAGGCCTGCATACGAAAGAGACCCCCACTCCAAGCACCTGTATTGACATGGCTTATAGCATCGGCATGACCGCATATGCCAGAATATCACGAAATAAATCGCACGCGATGCACTGGGAGCAATGAGCAGCGTCATGGCGAGACAGCCTCTGAAGCGGACGGGGATCATCTCAGACCGGTGAGTTACACTTGAAAAAGTGTCCAGGACAGATAACAACGAACGGCCAGCAAGGCAACACCCGATGTTCGGAGCACCTGGAGGGCGGGCCCGGGATCGGTTCTATGGGATTCGCCGAGGCTGGTCAGCAGAAGGGGCCCTGGTTCAGAGTTGGAAACACCGTCGTCTGGGCGGTCACAGACAGCACGGAGGTGGGCATGGCCGTCAGAATCGCGCACAGAAAGGGCGATCGCACCGGAATCAACACGGACACGCGCGCAGATCCTCTGTATCGCGAGACGGCAGAACTCGTAGAGCTTGGCCGCGAGATCGCGGACGCGGACGTCGTGCAGGACACGTGTTTCGGTAGCCCGGAGTATGAGCTGCCCAACTGAGGGCATCATGGGGGCTTTTTGGTTGTGTGCGCGGACTGCTGTACGAGGGTAAGCCAATGGACGGCATGATCGATATGGTGAAGAATGGGGAGTTTCCCGAGGGTTTGAGGGTGTTGTATCATGTAGGCGCATCTCGGGCGGCGACACTTGATTAAGCTTGATTGTTCGATGTCTCACCTGTGACCTACATACAAGGTAGATGAATAGTTTAGCAGAACGTTTTTACATATCAACTCCTCCTCCTCCTCCTCCTGTGCGCGACATGGCCTTATGTAAGCACAGTTTGCCAGCGAGGCCGTCACGGTCTAGCTTCATCTTACACCATCACGAGTGGTTCCGATTCGCACCCCAGCTTTTCGCGGAAATCTTCTCGGCGACTCGTCATTTGGCAGGAGAATTTCGTGGGTAGAATCATCATTCGGGGTAGCATACGGGAGCTCCAAGGTGCGCTGCTCGTAAGGTCAACTTTTGTGGGACAAATGCAGGCGAAGAAGCCGCAGAAGGTGGTTGGAACGACGCAGAGCCTCCCATAGTCGCACAACCGAGCCCATTCCTGTCATGTCGCGTGTCGTGCGTGTGCGATACCATCTTTTCATTCATAATGCTCATGCAATAAAGGGTGAGGAGAAGGGGAGACGCACTTCGGGAGACATGCATGGTCAAGACTGCGGTGCCTTCTGTCCAATCGACTGGCGAGTCTCCCGCCGGGAAACTCTGTGATCGTGAGGACTGCAAGGAACTTACGCGTTGTAGGTTGGATACTAGCAATATGGCTTTTGGAACGATGGAACTGTCCGAGCCATGGAAAGCAATGTCCTGGCAACCGCTTCAAAGTTCGGAAAACGTGGTATAATACTAAAATTCCACGCACCATCCCACCATGCCTGGGTGTACAATCTCAAAGCTCCACGTCGTAATACCGGACAATCCTGAGGGTACCTCGGAGGCTGAGTTCGAAAAGTGGTGGTCGTGGCTCACGTTCAGCAGCTAGAGTTGGGAGCACTTGACTCTAAGTAGGGCGCTCCTGCGCCGCAGAGTCGCGACCTCGCTGCGGACCGGGTGCTCCGAGCGTGCCAGCGTTGTCGCTGTTGGTCAGTCGACGTCGACTACCACCAAACTACCACCATCCTGGCTGTTTGTATCCATCGCATCCAGCGCAGGACCATGGTGCCAGCCGCAGTTATAGGTAGCGACGCAAGACTAGGAAACAAATGGAATTTTGACGATGCGCTTCACTCCGCCGGCTCGCCGTGCGGCGTCATCGAATCTTGCTGACGATGCAGCCGTGGACGCTGGGTATTTATACTCCTACCATCTCCTTCGAATTAACAGTGCTGTAGCTCATCGCCAACATGTCCACGCCCAAGGTGATCCGCTGGGGCATCCTCGCCACCGGTGGCATTGCGCAGACTTTCAGCAAGGACCTCCTCCTCGATCCCAACACCCGCGGCGTAACCTCGATCAAGCACACCATCGTCGCTGCTGCAAGTTCCTCGGGAAAGGAGCGTGCTGTGCAGTTTCTTAAGGAGGTCGGGGCACCTTCTACCGCACGGGCGTATGGCTCCTATGAGGAGCTCATGAAGGACCCCGAGATTGACGTTGTCTACGTCTCGACGCCTCATTCGCACCACTACCAGAACACGATGCTGTGTCTCGAAGCCGGCAAGAACGCGCTCGTCGAGAAGGCCTTCACCGTGAACGCCGCGCAGGCGAAGAAGCTGGCTGAGAAGGCTAAGGAGAAGGTTCGTCCTACATTGTCTCCGTATGTCAGGCACCGCGATACTTATGTCACACAGAACCTGTTCCTCATGGAGGCCGTATGGACGCGTTACTTCCCCCTCTCATACTATGTCCGCGACATCATCACCTCCGGCAAGCTGGGGAACATCCAGCTCGTCTCCTCAGACAACAGTATCAGCCTCGACCCCGAGGAGACGATGGCCGATGGCAAGCACCGCATGGTTAACCCCGATCTCGCCGGCGGCGCCCTGCTCGACTGCGGTATCTACGCCCTTACCTGGCTCTTCCAGACTGTCTACACGACGCTCCCGCCCGCCGAGCGCAAGGCGCCCTCCGTCACGTCCGCGCTCAAGATCTACGAGCCAACGGGCGCCGCGGACGAGCTCTCGAGCATGCTGCTCGTCTTCCCTCGCCCGGGGAACAAGGACGTGCACGCCATCGCGACGACGAGCATCCGATACTCGTCTGACCCGCTCGGCGACCTCTCCGGAGGCCCGGCGTGCCGCGTCCACGGCGACAAGGGCGAGATCCAGATCTTCCCGCCGCTGTACCGCCCGACGAAGACGCGCCTGATCCTCCGCGATGGCATCGTTGAGGACAAGGAGTGGCCGCAGCCCGGCCCTGGGAAGGGCTCTGGTTGGTTTAACGGGTTCGGCGACGGTATCCAGCCTGAGGGCGAGGGCCAGGGTATGTTCTGGGAGGCGGACGAGGTTGCGTATGCCCTCATCGATGGTCGAAAGGAGAGTCCGCTGCTGAGCTGGGAGGAGAGCGTGGTCATCATGGAGGTCATGGACGAGGTCAGGAAGCAGGGCGGTCTCAGGTTCCCGGAGAAGATCGAGACAACGGACTTCCCTGTCGCTCTCTGAACAGGGCGGGGAGAGAAAGAGTTGTACAGCAGTTGTGTACCGAATTCAAATCTGTATTGTCACGCGTTCGTCAAACGATCTCTAACCATGTCCGAGTCGCAATGTAGCAATGCATTCAAAATTCATCCACGGTGACTTAAGCTTATCCTCGGTGTTATTCAGGAAACGCACCTTCGCTCACATGTCCTTCCAGTAGGCCGCACTACTCCTCTTTCCACATTCGATTCTCAAGTATTGATCTTCCGCAGCCGCTAATAGGCTCGTGGAATACATCATGCGCGATGCTGCTGCTCCCGTCTCTGTGTCAGTTACATGCTGATTTCAGACAAGAGTCGGCGACGATCATGATCGCCGTACACAATACTGTACGTATGCTGGGTAGACATGATTTTGTCGGGCAAGAGAGAGAAGTGGACGTACTATAGCCCATCAAATGCCCGTTGAGGAACTCTTCTACTGAACACGGGTCCGGCCAACGGGACAGATACTCAACGTAAGCGCTGATGCCGTACTTAGACCCAAGCCCCTCTGAAAAGTGGTTCAATCCGGATAGTCAGTCGACTCACGGTCTCTTGGTCAACCTATATAAGCACGCTCAAGTCACAATGTAGCAACGTATTCAAAGTTCATCCACGGAGCCTTCTTATCCTCGGCGTTCTTCAGGAAAGATACCTTCGCCCACAGATCCTTCCCATACCCCTCTTTCCGCATCCAACTCTCAAGGGTGTGTCCCTTCGGATTGACCTTCCGCAGCAACTCGTAGTCCCTGCTGATAGTGACGTCCCGCCAGTTCGCCCACCACGCACGGAAGTTCTCCTTCCACGTGATCGACCCGTCCCTCGTCCGCCCGCGCTCGTTCGCGAGCGGGACGTCGACGCCGTCGAGGATCCTCACCCAGTCGTCGTAGGACTGGTATAGCACCTCCGCGCGCTTGCCCGTCACCTTCTCGAACGTCGTGCGGAGGTACTCCCAGTCGACCTTGTCGCTGGAGATCTGCAGGTCGTGCCCGGACGTCGCCTCGCGGTGGTCGAACGTGTACCGGGCGAAGAAGCCGAAGTCGTCCAGGGCGATCATGTTGACGTGCCCCTTTCCGATGGGCGTGACGAATACGACGGTCCCGTCCTCGCGCTGCTTGACTGGGCCGAACATCGCCTGGGCAAGTCCGTCAGCACTGAAGCTTGTGTAACAAGAAGTGTCAAACTTACGTGCTGCAGCATCTCCATGTACGGCCCGGACGTGATGAGTGTCCAGGACATGTCTGTGTCGCTCACGACAGACGGCTGGGCCTGCATGAAGTCGCCAACGATCCCCTTCCCATCGGAGTGCTCACACCTATACTTCGGATCGAAGTTCGTGATCTGTTAGACGCTCTCAAGTAAGCTTCGTGTCGAGGCGTGGGTAGCACAATGAGACCGTACCCTCGAGAAATAGTCTAAGTTGCTCCAGACGTAGTGTTTGATCTTCGCGTATCGCGCCAGTTCGTATATATGAATGCCGCACCAGACTTCCTTCGCCTGCCCGACGGTGAATCCGTCCGTGTTGACGAAGGCACCGTAGCACCCCTTCAGAGCCTCAGCGACAGAATCGAAATCGTCGAAGGCTCCTGTGCGGCTGATCAGCGACTCACTATCAAGAAGCATAGATGAATCACTGGATCCGACCTTTGAAGAGCTCGACTCCCTTTGAGGCGAGCTCCTGGGCTCGCTTGCTTTGTGGGTCGCGGGTAAGTACCCGTACGCAGTACGGCGATGGAGATCCATCTTCAGCGGGCGCGAGCAACTTGTCGACGATGGCGAGCCCCTGCGCCCCGGTGCCACCAATGACGAGAATGACTTTCGTGCTCGAGTATGCAGCCATAGCGTGTCGTCGGATGATCGCAATTGATTCGAACCTGTTATAGCGTGATTTTATATCTCCTCGATGGCTGGCGCACCACTAACACCCCTAGTAGACACGCTGGGTCAGCGCGAAACATGTGGGGAGTCCCGACTTCATCGGAGATGACGAAGCAAAGAGCGATATTACTGTGGAAAGGACCCCGGGGGCTACGCGAGATGCAAACAGTCAGTCATTGTGCGCGCTCTGGGACCGAATAAACAATCTGGGAGCACAACGGTTCAGTCTATCGTCACGTTGAACAACCATTCACCTACCGCTAGTCCACCGCGTCGAACAAGAAACGATTTCTTCACCCTATGCTAGCAGGTCAAGGACGACTTCGAAGTGTTGAACGTTGAACACTGACGCATAGACGGACCTAAGTAGGCTGAGTGGACTATGCCCGGGAGGTTCGGCCATCTGTCCGAGCCCATGACGTTTATTGTCAGTTCGTAAGTGACCCGTGGGGCATCGCGCCGAGCCACAGGGCTTAAAGCAGAAGTAATAAATACTTTCGGCATTGATCTTGAAGCGGCAACAGACAGACCCCACACCTTGCCCACACCCGTACCGTATAAAATTCAGAATGTGCATATAGAGCGAAGAGGATGCAGGAGCTACCCATTCTACCGTTGCTCTTCCTGAATATCCATATCGCCATAGACATTCGCCTGATCTGTATCGTCGGCGTCATTGCCTAGATCGTACCTCGCGTCCATTTCGTATTCTTCGGTGTCACCGCGGGTAGCGTGTGCAGCCGCCGCCGCACCAGGTCGGGGTTCGAAGGCGATGCTCGATACGTGGGTGAGGTCACCTAGTATATGGGAAATAGTGAAGCCTGATTCGTCCGGATTGACATCTCTGATAGAGGCTTGCCGGAGGTTGAGCAGGAGCCGTGACAGTAAGACTATCTGCATCCTTTGAGATCCGCAATGAGTGTAAGGGACTCCGTTAGGAAGGAAGGGAATGCGCACGATTGGGACAATGTGCTGAAGAAAAGCATATCCTGATGTAAGGATGATGAGGATGTAAATCCATGACGGATAGCCACATGATCGCACCGTAAGATACAAGAGTACACAGTTGACGAGGCGCAGAAGCAGAATTGCTCTGGCAACGAAGTAGATAAGGATATAGCATGTGTAGATGGGCAGAGTAGGACGTGCATGAAATAGACAGTGCCTAGGAGCAACTCAATATCAGCCGTTCGGTGAAGAAGTAGAATATGAATTTCCCGCACCGTCTCGAAGAAGAAACCATGAGATACTGAACGACCTTGGGTTGACTCGAGCCTGTCCCTTTCCAGGCCGTCGTACAAGAAATAGCATCCTTGACCAAGTGAGACCGACGACAATAGCTTGCGAGAGTATATTGAAAATCAAACTAACAAGCCCCACAAGCCCCACTACGACGGAAGGTCAGCAAGCCTGCTTGAGATGGAGTCGATTTGTTACAAGAGGTCACCTCTTCCACGCATACAATCAATGAAGGTATGTGATCGTCTAGTGGCAAATACTCACTTTTCAGCCGTGCTGCCTGCGAAGTGGATAATGATATAGCAGCTCCAGGTACCATCGATGTCGACTGACTGATATCGATTTTTCGCTGTGGCGTACTGCAGGTGTATGTCAGTTCGTCACCCTCCAACTCGAAGTCCGTCAAATTCTGCCTACCGCATCGAAGATAACTACGAATATGCTAGTCGCGAACACTATTGCAGCGCACACCAAACTACGGTTGCTGACTGCGTATGCACGAATTGCCGAAATCACTGATGACGCCAGTACAATTTCAGCGTACAAGGCGAACACGGAGCCTTGAGACAATAGACTGACCTGCGTCCAGTATATTCGGGAGCAGACTGAATACTGCGGAGCTGACGTAAGTACCGCGGCAACTGTACATCATATAAGTTATGGAGACGACGGTCCAATAGATGGCTATGAGTGACTGACTTTTCCAAAGTCTATGGAACATAGTCAAAGAGTAGTACAAAGATGCAGAAAAGTGTAGTGACATACCGGTAAGTCGCACAGAATGTACACCGACTGGGTAATTGACATGCCAATCGTGGTGAATCGTATCAAGGCCATGAGCGTGGTCATCCCAGACGGTGCACGCTGCGGCCACAAGAGAGTCATGTCGCTGCCCAAAGTAAGCAGATAATCATAGATGGGGAATACTGCGATCGCATTGAGCGATCTATAGCAAACCTACTTCATTTGCTGTGCACGCAATACCGACATAACCCTGTACTAAGCTGTACATGATAAAGTGAGCTCAGTAACGGTCTCAGGACAGAACAGTGAGATATAGTACCGACCCAACCTGTACATTGGCGATCGCTTCGGCCGTGGATGTAGACATGGAAGAATTGGTGTCCCTCTAGAGAATGAAGTAGTCACAAACCGAATGGCGACTGACCGGAGATATTCTCAGTTACGACCTTTTTGTGCCCTTCATTGAGTCCTAAAAGCGGCGCGGAGCATACAATGTGTCTTAAGTTCACACAAAATTTGTTAGAGAACCGCAGCCTGGAGTATTCAGACACGTACTCAAACGCAGCCTGAAATGATACCCGAGTCAATTGAGTGCGTATCAATTACGGCTCCTACCAGTTCGATCACTGGCGGTCCACCATCAATCAGGTTACCAGCAGTCGAACCGTACCCGCACCTTCATAATACATGAATACAAGATACGCCGTGAGAATACGATGGCCAGGGAAGCTGTTGTGTGGATGGGCGCATATTCAGAGGTAGCGCTACGGGCACTGCAGCTCAAATACACTTACGCATTCAGGCAGCATAGATGTTCATGTTGGCGACGGGAAGAACCACCGCGTGCATTGCCTCGCACGAGGCTGGCAGGCGCCTGCCACAATTACCGTACAGCGACCCATGTTTCCAGTCAGATCTCTACCACAGTACTTAGGATATAAGCGAGCGATTGCATGGATGATGTAATGGCACATACCTCCTCCGACTTCCGTCCACACGCTTCAGGATGTATGAACAGCGCCTTCAACCACCATTGACGCCAACAACGGCCAATTTGCATACTGGCCTTGTGCGAGAATGACACAGGTACCGACAAATTAAAGCCACGCCGTATAGGTACCGCCTGGAGGCAAACCTCAGGAGTGAGTTTCTTGGGCACATGGTGCTTTACTTCCGTAGCTACCTGGCCAAACCAACTGCAGGTAGAAGTTGTCAGTCTGCGTCACAAAATCGATGTCATGTTCGTTGTATGCATGTATGTATCGCCTAGCAAAGTATGCACGGGTTTTCATTAGGAGATGAAAATGAGGTGCTTACAGTCCGACGGATTCGCGTGTACCGCGGTCCAGACTCCAGAGCCGTCGATATTCAACAAGACATGGTATCGGATATCCCCTCAGTTGACCCCATCGCGCAATTCGCGTCCCGAACATAGCTCCTAAGAATACCTCCGGCTCTGACACTGGTATCTTCCTGTTATTGAGATGAGAGGCAAGTCCGTTCAAAGTCCGTTAAACGTTTTGTCGTCCGCTCAGTGCTGATTACTTCGCCATAACTAAGCTCACTGAGACCGCCCGTGGTCTCACAGCTACTGAGGTTTCTCCCAAGCTTAAAAATCATTAGACAGCTGGATTTGTGAACTCAGGAAAGGGCGTACCACCGTCAGTTGAACGTTGAACGTACGTTAATACGTTGCACTCGGGAAGTCGGATTTCCGAGTCGATTGAAGTTGCCCGGACGACTTTCAGCTGCACCCCAAGAAGCGAGAGCTCCACCCGTCACCACTGCCACTCGCTGGAAGCCAAATGCACTGGTATTTGGATGAGACGAGGTACGCGTTCTCAAATGCAGCTGTGCGCAGGCTGCTCGAGGGGCTCCGGCAAAGGCCGACCAACTAACGCCGATGGCGCCCGTGCGTGTCCTCGCCCGGGCCGTCGGTCGGTGGCTAAATGTCCTCCCCTCCACCTCCTCAGTCGGTCGGTCGAGTCGACTTACATACAGTACTGTAAGTAACCTCTTTGTTGCCACTACAATATGCCGCATACACCTTACACATCTTGTACACCAGATCGTCAACATCCCTACTCCCTGCTCTTCAACATGTTCGACTGGTGATTAAGCAACCACGACACTGCGAAGAGAAACCACCCGAACGCCCCTGCCTTAGCTGCATGGCTCACGTCCAACATGTCCGCTCGCTCGCTCGCACTCCTATGGTGCTTCAGTATAGCGACTCCCAGAGGGCCACTGGCTGCCCCAACCGCGGTGTAGAAAGCGAGGGATCCGAGGTCTTTGCGTATGGATGTCGACATGTTCATCATGTTTGCGAAGGTTTTGACCTTCCTGCCCAGGGTCGCGAGGAGCAGCGCCATGAGGATGACGGTCCAGATTGCGACACCAAGTACGCCGCTGCCGACCGCGCCAATCTGCATCGTAGACCGAATGTTGGTGGCATAACTCGGGTCTCCCGGATGGATCGCGCGCAAGATGGCTTGTCCGAGCGTGAGGGCGAGAAACCCGCTGAGCGCGTACGTGCCCACTCCGGGGATTGTCATGGATAGCCATAGTCCAACCACGGCGGAGACCCTCTCTGCGCTACTCAGGTCTTTGTGGTCCAGGCGGGTCAGGACTCGGCAGAGTTGATTGTGCTTGTGGTGAGCTTCTACGTCTTCTTGTGTCTCCACGGTTTCTGCAGATCCTGGTATGTTTGCTTCTGTGGCGGACGGAGGTTGCGCATGCAGATTCGTGTTCATGTTACCGGGCAAGAAAGAAAGTGCTGCGCTGGCAACTGTCAGAAAGCAGCAGCGACAAGCGCTTCACCATCATGACTTACCTTGTTATTTGCTTTTGGAGGAACAGCCGCCTTCTCTAGGAACGGTTTTGACTGTTTGGTAAACTGATCAAGTGTGCTTTCGACGCAGCGCCATCTCACCGACCATCGTGTCAGCCACCTTCGTGCAAGCCTCATCGAGAAGATGTAACTCATACGTCAAACGCCGATCACCATCGAGTGTCAGCCGCTGCACACGTGAGGTGCGCATTCCGAAAGATTCGTATATTGCTCTCGTTTTTGTCTTCGCCTCCCGATCAGGGGAACGCTTCACTCTGCCACGTCGAGTTTGCTGGTACTACTAATCACGTTCATAATGTACTCAGTTTCCCAGTCGTGTGCGATACAAGATACAAAATAGAATTTGCATCGTCCGTCTTTGACTCCCTACTATGATGTGCGAACCATCTGAAGCCCTCGACTTGCCCTCGAAGTCGATAATGCCAATGCGTTGGACGTCTAATTCATCTTCCTGGTCCGCTGTCTTTCCTCCTCCAACGTTTCAACCCCCGAGTTAAAGTTGATACTCGTTAATTCGGACGGAAACTCGGATGGAAAATACGGCGAGCTCGCCGATGTGAGGCTGACGTGAGGCGTGCGGCTTCGCGCCAGTTGATGAGGACTCGCGACATGAGGATCAGTGTAAACCTCAGGCTGCCGTGGTTGATAGGGTCAGTTGCTTCAAGCGGCGTAGCACTACATGTCGGCAGCTTGCGGAATAATGATGCTGGCGATGACCTCGTTGAGCCCCTAGGCCTATGAATCTTGCGACGAACATCGAAGTAGAACAACAACTTGAAGATGGCGACGGTATTCAAGTCCGTAGTCTATATGTGTATGCGACGCAATTGGAGTGAACGGTGACATGTTGAATCAACACTTACCCACGTCGCGGCTACAGTCGCCTTCGAAGCAATGATGCTGCCCTTTGGAATGATACTAGACAAGGAAGTTTCACTAGGTCCATCTGTATTCCACAACCTGACTTCGGCATTTACTCTGTCGATCAATATTACTCGGAGACGACCTGGAAACGCCACCGTCGAACGATGATCCCAGTCCAGCGCGAGGATAAGTTCCTGGCCGCTGTAAACAGCACACTTGCATACTCCCCGTGACGCAACATATAGCTACAATTGAAAATCGTTCGTTGGTCGCTGGCAATTCATACTTCCCTGAGCCTATGTATCATCTCGATTTCGTCTGCGCCTTCGTCACGAAGGCATTCCTCCGGTACTTCCACAGCTGGATCGAAGACGACGGTGGATATCTCGAATGGTGTCTCTATCTCGAAGGAGGACGTTGACAAAGTCGTACGATCCATGTCTCTGCGGTACGCGACTTCGCGGAGATTGATCAGGAGTCGGGATATGAGGATCAGCGAGAACCTGCGGGTCAATAGTCAATATGCGCCTACTTGGCGGGGGCATACGAGGAGCTCACGGGAGAATGATGCTGTGAATAAAGTCGACTTCGTCCTGTGCGTCTCCCATGAGCATTTGAAAGAGCGCAGAGAGAAAGGAGAAGGACGAACGTCGAAGTACACGAGGCAGATGTCGACAATGTTGAGTACCAACATGAGGCTGTCGGAGATGAGCAACGCGGATATCCTCCGTGTGGGTCCTGTACTTACATGAAATATATAGTTCCTGATTAACACCTATGTCAGAAGGCGAGTATACATGTAAGTGGTGAGATTTTCGTACCATCTCTTAGGAGATACCATATCAACGATTGCCTGTACGAGCGCGGTCGTACGTGGGTCTTCATTAGTCCGTATGTCTCGACCCAGATGGTAGTGACGACGATGATATCACAAGTGATGGTACATAGACGAGACAGGAGAGCAACTAAAATTCAGATATATCAGTATGCTGCTGGTTTGACAGAGAAGAGATAACAACAGCTGTCGGACAGGGTTCATGAGCAGGAGAGTCGCAAGCCGCCACATATGCCATACATACATGAACCCCTCTCTGCTGGTTGTCATTGTATGGTATGAGCATATTCCGTCCGTGAGGTAGATCGAGGCTTGACTTGCAGCATACTGTAGGCACAATAAGTACAGGAGGTTCGACTCTCGAATTAGACACAAACCACGTTGACACCGACAGGTGCCGCGCCGACAATGAGTGTGAAAGCTGCGACCAGCCATCGATGGCCGTTAACAGCATAAACCCGCATGGCTGAGACCACTGGAGGCGGAACTCCATCATGAGTTGTCGGCAATGGTGATTCATCATGCTGCTCACCCGCGATCATCGCCAAACTGGTGAACTGAATAAACATGGAGAATATTATCGATGCCATGCAGCTGCATGATGCTCGTTCAAGGTCGGATGGGAAAGCGACTATCAGCCTACCTGCTGAGCTACAAAGGATCTGAGTCGTGTACTTCGTGGCGCGTAGTGACTGATTGAGACGTACGTTCGTGATCTCTGCAGACGCCATCGTGGCTAGGCCAAAAAGTGCTGTCGCCAGCATCAAGAAGCGTACGAGGAAAAACACAATTGAGGCAGGCCATTTTCTGACCCAGAACAGTGAGATTTCGCTGTCTGACGTGGTAATGTATTCATATAGCAGGAGCGCTGCAGGGATTGTCCACGAGTCTATCACTTGCACATCGTACGTCTGCTCAGCTGTAGCACGAACCGTTGGATGCAACGTCGACACAAGACGACGTGAATCTAACCAATGACAATGTTTGTCAGAATCGAAACGGTGCGCATGCTGCAAGATACGTACGCCTCTTGTGCATAAATGGCAGCCTCTGCCATTGACATCGCAGCGGATAGTCAGGATCGACAGACGACTCGCTCAACGCGGCTTCATGTACCCAAGTAGGAAGGACCGTCGCTGCGAGTCTCCCGCATGTCTCACCAGGTCTCACCAGGTTGACCTGATCAGTGATGCACCCAGTGATACACTCTAGGAATGCTCCTCCTCTTTAGCTCCTCTTGCCGATCGTTTTGGCAGGCTAGGCTGAACGGGGTTCCATCGCCGGATAGATCTACTATAAGCCGTAGTGCGCCCTGGAGGCTGGAGATTGTGTCTACTTACTCGGGAGACCTGCGCGGGACTCTCAGTGAATAGTTACATGCCTCCTAGCCTTCTCCTCATGAACGTGCGGTGCATTGAGTCTCGATCATTTGACAAGTCACAGAATCATGGTCCGACGAGGGGCTTTCGCTCGAGTCTGAGACTAGGCAAGAATTGATATTGAACGTTTGAACGTTGAACCATATGCATCACTGATCTTGATTATATCATGGATCACTGTTAAATTTAGGTTTGATGGTATCCCGCGCGTCATCTTGAGCAGATCCATTCACTGGCAGAATACATTCACTGACACGGGCCGTAATGCACACAACTGTTCTCTACTAGTTATTGATTATTGGACCGACTGTGCTGCAGGGCTTGTCAATTAAAGAACAATGAATACGACGGGACGTTGATTTCACTCGCGTAGCTCGCAATCATCACACGAACAGGGACACATCGTCCAAGTTCCCCCAATTGAAGGAACTTTGTCTCGACGGCGTCGACCCAGAGTAGGAGGATCCAGTCGCCACACGTCACTGCACGGCTACGACATCGAAATTCGGGACTGCCAGTGCTGGATTATCATTATACAAGTATAGAGATAAGTATGTTGTATTGGTAAGCATGCCCACGTTTTGATACGACGACGCAGGGGCATTAACACAGAAAAGTGGACATCGTCATGCCAGTTCCCTCTTGGCCGAGAGTCGAAGACGCAAACCCAGGAAGGCTGCTCACTCCGGCCGCTTGCCTTCCTCCTTTCAAATTCAGTTGATACTCATAGCTAACTGCACAACATGCCGCACGTCTCAGTCCCTTACATTTTGTGCGGATTGCAATGGTACGCGTGAATTGACTTACAACGGTGGGGCTGTCGAAAGAGGAAAGGTGTGTATGTATTCGATCAGCTCGCACGGTGTCAAACATACCTCAACGTATCCTCCGCCCGGTAATTCCTGCGAAGGCAAGGCTGGATACAAGCTGGATAGGCTGGAACATCAAGGCCCATAGCATCATGTCTGCGCGTATTGCCCGCTGTGTAGTTTCACTTGTGCTGCATTCCCGCGGTTCGTTTCCATCACCGGTCCGATGTTTCGTAGGATGCGACTGCGCTGCACGTGCTGTGGTAAGCGGGCTGAAGGCAGGACTTGACCTTTTACGGCATCCCTGATGCGGCTGGTGGGGGCCGTGGCGTTTTCCCCATCATGGGGAATGCCGTACATAACACATCCGTTGTTCGCCCTGACAGTCCTTCTCTCAGATCAGTTGGATTATAAGTCGACGCCATCCATAGCGCTGCGAGGATCTCCGGCCTCGAACGTTGGGTGCACCCAGCTTCGCCCATCCGACAGCCGACGGATGAACGCGACCGCGCCCGGCGAACCCGCAGCAGAGCTTGCGCTGCTCGCGGCTGAGCTCCATACTGCGTATGTTCAAGTCCTCCAGACCGTCGATTGTATTCTAATTGGAATCATGACTAGGTTCGTTGCTAAGTGTCTCGCATCGGCAGCACTCGGCAAGCTATGAGCTCGTTTTGCCCGTCATAGGTTACTCATGCAGAGCTATGCATCCACAGCTCTCACTCTTTATGAGTACCTCCTCACTCTTTCAAACGAAGTCGCTCTCTTTTGGAACACCAAGCTATCCTCTGCTTCCGCCCTCATTCTCTTTCAAATCCGCCTTATCCTACTAGCCATCGCAGCGACGAGCATCGCAGGGAATTATGTGCCGGAAGCAACCGTGACCGTACGTAGCATCGCTATCACCAAAGGGTCTTCTGCTCAAGGTCTGACAGTTGACAGGGTGAGGCGAACAGTTCAAGTGCGCATGTCTCGTAATAATACGCCATTCACCAGCTGCAAGTCATACAGTATCTGGAATGCAACGCTCACTTTGCTCGGTTACACCATGATCGCAGGTAAAGGTGGCTTGTATGGGGGTTCTCGCTTGTAATGACGTTAGTTTCAAGTTATATCCGCTATTCGTGTCTTTGCCGTGACGGAGCGTAACTGGCTCCTCTCACTGTTGACCCTCACATTGGGTCTACTGCCAGTACTCATTAACATTGTGAGTATGTGTAATCCATCACGTTCATTCGCAATAGCTTACCACGGCCCTTGTAGTACTTATTAACAACCGCATATTACCTAGTCAAATCGGTGCCGACAACAACTGTTTGTGCTGTTCTGTCCACTATATCTCCCCACTCGGCGAATAAGTGAGTATCTCGTCACATACCGCGTTGCTGATGTTGAATGACGGTTAATTTCAGAGGTACCGTGGTCCTTCAACGAATTCATGTTTTATACTGACAAGTCAACTTGAAACCACAGTTGCTCTGGCCAGCCGTCTTGGTGTCATTCTTTCCGATATACTCGTCGTGTCCGCTACGTGGTTCAATCTGTTCCAATCGGCAAGATTCAGTGCAAAGAGCGGGTTTCTGACCAGCTCTGTCTCCTGGTATCTGCTGCGAGACGGTAAGTGGTCGAAACTCGTGCATGTAGTCCACGATCTCATTGTGGCACTTTACAGGCACACTGTACTTCTCGTGCGTTCAGTCACATGGCCGATTCTGCCGGTATATCTGATATGCCTCTGCAGTGTGATTCTCGTCCTCAACCTCATCGACATCCTCCTTTGGTGGTTCGATGTACGTGACTTTACCGTCACTCATCATTCTTGCGGGCTGACCGTATTCTTACCAGCGAATACAATTCTTCACAAGCTTGATCTTCCCGTCCGTGGCTTCATTGCATCGCGCCCTGTTGACATTGCGACTGACGTGGATCCCTCAGTCTATCCCTCATCTTGCTGTCGCGGCTACTCATCAATCTTCGTCAGGTGGCATACTCCGACGCCGCCATCCGGTCACTGAGTAATTCCGGTCACAGCACGGGAGCGGACCTCCCTACTCAGATGTCAGACGTCTTCTTCGTGCCTCGGACCACATCCGGCATGGACACGGACGAATCTCCGACTCTGGAGACCTTCGAAGATGAAGAGGACGTCGAGATGGCAGAAGTTGCAATTGGCGACGACGACGAACGCCCGATTGGTGTCGGGAATCTGGAGGCGGATGCACTCAAATAGCAAGCGGGGTCGCACACGCGCACGAATCTCTACATGCGTACGGACTGCTCAAGGTGTAGTCGGGTATCAACTGCGGTTACGTAGCCCCAACGGATTCAAACGTCGGAGCCACGTTGTCTACCTTGAAGTCTCGAGTTCGAGAGGGGCTTTCCTACGGGAGTCATTCTGTACAGTAGCCACCCACTGGCAAGCATTCGGTCGTATGTACATGGTACAGTTGGCGTGCGGCGCAGACATCCCCTTTCGAAGTCATGCAGCGATTTCCTTAAATCTCGTCTGAGTGTGAACTCGCAGCAAAGATGTCGATGCCGAAGCACTTGACGAAAGCATAAGGTGAACGTAGGATCACACGCATCCGAGGTCGTCCATCGCTGTCACAACAGTAATCAAATTACACATACTAAATAGAGTAGAGCAGAAGGCTCGTATGATGTTAGTCATGCACGAAGACATACTGTACATACTACGATCTAGACAGGACCGAAGACCAAGCTGTCCATCAGCGCATTGCCAAAGCGAGAGCGAGTCTCTCCCACCGAGCAACCTCGAGTGGTGACTATTCGCTGGAAGGTATCCCTAAATTCCACGAATGCCTCACTGTATGCATCTTCCTTCAAGTACTGCACGACAGGCTTGCCGCGGACCTGCAATCCATCCCACTGTTTCGCCCAATGCGGCCGAGGGAGAAGCCGGCGGTCATCTGCGCCCTTCGAGTCATAACCTGTCCACTTGTCCGCGACGAGCTGCATGAAGTCGGCCCACATGTCTTTGGGCGTTGCTAGAGTGGTCAGCACCTCGATCGACACCGTACCAAGCGCGTTCCCTCGCTGAGGCGCAAGGATAACGTCGGAGGCACCTGTTAGTCGCATCTCCAGCGCAATGCGAGCCGGCGCATCGTGTGCTTGACTGTACATTGCGGAGATCCCATCCCACCTGCGCCAATGTCGGCATCGGATGGACAGAAGACACGGAGCATACACTTACCATGCGCGCTGGATAGCATCGTAGTCTCTCTTCCCTTGTATCGAAGGGACGGGGACCTCCCACTCCGTATCCCAGCACCGGAAGTTCTCTTTGTGAACGGTATACAACATTAGAGCGAGCGTCACTACGGATGAATGTGATGTGCTTACGGATTCCTCTCCTGAAATGTACAGCCTCGCTAACGTAGGTCTTGATAGCTTTCTTCGGATCAGTGATGTTGGGCATCGCGGCCATCGATGCGACTCCGAATAGCCATGCTTGCATGTAGCCTGGGACGTCTTTCCACAGGAAGAAGCTGGTGACAACCTCTGCGGCAGTCGATTGTAGCTGAATGCGCATCAGCGAGATGTCCAGCGGAGAAGATCATGTGCGCACCTCCTGAGACTTCACGCCATCGAGCCAACTATCACCAGGGTAAGGATCCAGATTTCCGTCCTTGGGGGTCATGGGGTACTCTGTGATAGATTGAGCTCACTGCGCCGCATAACTCGAACGCGACACGTACTCTTCCATGTGTTAATCCAGACATGTTCCTGGTACGGGAACCAGAACCATTCCAGGTAGTAGTCCTCCTCGCACCTCCGGATGAACTCCGCCCTCGCGTCCTCGAGTTGCGCCTCCGTGATCTTGGACTTCTCGATCATGCTTTGTACCTGCTTTGGAATGGCATAACCCTTCGGCGGAGGGATCGCGAGAGGCAACGGAGTATGGACGGGCACTAGCTCAGCCACTCCCATGGCGTCGAGCTGCAAGGTGATAGAGACGACGACGCCAAGCAAGCCAAAGCACCCACTTGCAGCACGGAGCTCGTCGGGGTCGTTCACAGTCTGTAGCTCGCCGTGCGCGTCGACGTACGTGATCTCCACAACGAGGTCAGAGAGCGTCGTGCTCGAGAAGCCCGAGCCATGACATATCGGTGCGTTGCTCCCACCGAACGTGATCTCGACCATGATGACATTGAACGGGATAGACCACGTCTTGTTGTTGAAGCTCCATTCGCGCAGCTGGTCATTCGTGGTCCCCGCCATGATCTTGCAGAAGGCATGACCTGACGGAGCGGCGCGGCCCGCGACGGATTTGACGACCTCGATGCCAGACAGTTCCGTCTTCCAGTCAGATGGAGGTTGCTTGTACGGGAGTTTCGTCAGGCTCTCGATGGGCAGGAACATGATCATGACGTCGCCTTCGGCACCGAATAGTTCACTTCGTGTTACCCAGTTAGACACAGGAAGACAAAGTGGAACGAAAGACCCACCCCCAAGTGTGGCGGAATCCAGCCACGCGAACCTTCTTCCCCTTCTTCGCCGCCCATTTCACCACTTCACATACGCCGCGGATCGTGCGAATCACCAGTGTATATCCGGGGTCATACGACACAGTCTTTCCCCAGTTGCTGAAGCTAGGTTGCTTGTCATGGCGCTTCAAGCCGTGCACAACATGCAAGACCTCGCCTTCGATCTCGTGCCCTAGCTGTACCATTTCAGCAAATGGATGCAGCTCGAAGACGTGGAGCCCAGTCTCGGCGTCGGCCTTCTTGCTCGGACCGTGCCCCTCAGCTTCGTTTGAGTTCTGGAGCTCAGTGAAGGCTCGCAAGACGTCTTCTCGGTGATCAGCATCCGGTTCTTCGACTGCCTGCAACAGAGTAAAAAACGGCTTCAGGCGGTCATCCTCGTCAACCAGTGCCTGCAGTGTCTGTTTGAAGTGCTCCTGCTGCAGAAGTGACGAATGGTGTTAATGGACACAACGAGAGGAACGGCGCCGACGCACAGTATACGCTGTAGAGTCTGATGACTGTTAAGTACGCAAGTCAGCAGAGCGACAGGATAATCGTTGAGGGACTGCTTACTGCCATGGTCTAGTAGTTATCAATACGTGGGTGAGTGATGGTCATCTGCTGAGGCCGACCGTAGCGCATTTATATGGGAAGCGATGATACCTGGAGCATGCTGAAACGCGCGGCTGTTGCGGGCGCACATTAGCGCGACAGCGAGCGGCAGTTGTCCATATATGCAATCTGCTCCGAGGTGGAGATCGGCCTGACTTAACGCTGACAATCGTTACGAAGTCAGGCAGAGATGTCTGCACTTCCCGGTACGGACGGTTTGACGTTCGGGACGTGTCTGCTTGCGTCCGAGCGGCAACATAGGTATTCACATTTGAAGGTGGCTCTGAGGCACCGGAGCTTGCTGTGATACAGGTGTGTGTCAGAAATGATGCTTAAAGTGACAGGTTCGCGCAAGGATACATACCAGGAATGTTCCAGCCGCGGAAAGAGCACCACATTACGGTTATCTTGAGCGCATCATGAGGATAACACGACATCGCTGAATGCGCATGCACGCGCTCCGAGACCGCTCGCTGAGATGCGCCGACTCATAAAGGCCGTACATCGGACGCATCTGCGACCTTGAGCAAACCTCCATTGAGCACTTCACGGAAGGGTAGGCAATATAGCATATGTCGACGGACGGATCTGGCGACTGATTCGAGGTCATGGCAGTGCATCTGAGTTCTTTCATCAGCACGAAACGATAGATGAGAAGAGACCGAAAGCGAACCTTATGACATACCGTCTAAGGCATCTCCAATGTGGTTCGAATACGAGCTTGAGACGGTCCACGTCGTAGATCCGAAGCCATCCCGCCCAGGGACGCAAGGTGATGCACTCACATTCCGCCGAGCTCTGTTGGTCGAGGACTGAGGTACATACGCATATGAGGAAGTAATCTCAATGCGAGTCATATGCAGGGTCATGTAGCTACTAGCCGCGACGGCCGATAGAATCGCATAGCGCGACGTGCTCAGAATCCAGCTTGGCCCGATCGCTGCCTCTTAGTTGACGTTTACTTCATATTGTCAGGAACTCAGTATATATGAGACAGCTCAGGTACGCATTGAGTAATACTCGAGATGGACCTGAGATGCGGTGCTAAGACAGCTTTTCTACGTGCAGGGACAGGTTCAGCGATCAAACTTAGGATGAGCGTGTAGACCTACCTAAGGAGTTTCTGCCGCAGGAAACCCGCAAGAGTCAATCGTTCTAAATGCGTCAGTGCGGGAAACCCACTGTGAGACGTGTGCTGGCTGCGTCGTCCACAGACTGCTGAAGTGCATCGCAAATGGCTGCTAAGGACTAGGACGCCTCAGAAGCGAATGCCTTGACATGTCTTTGGAAGCATGTTCGTGCGATCACCTGCTAGAAGGCCTGTCTAGGTATTTTCAGGAATAATCATACAATGTCATTCACGTGAGCGGGACTACTCACTGCGAATGACCAAAGCACACCCAGCACACATAGCTAAGTCGGCCATGCTCTAAGTGTCGGGAACAGCTGATCGTGAAGATATAACATCTTTCTGAGTGACGTATACAGCTCCAGTGGATAGGAACACGGACGTAGGTCCAAGCTCGCCACAGTACTATCGAGAGCTCTACAACAGAGTAACAAGACGAACAGGAATGACGACACTCACACACATAAACCTCCGTGTCATGAAGGACGAGTGGCCAGACGTTCGGGAGGATACTCGACACAGCAACGTCGAGTGATTTCATGTTCGCTTGCTCCAGTAGAACATCGAGCAAGTCGCAAGAGTGATATCCTCGCTGAGCCTCTGCCTCCCAGAGGTATGAACAGCCCGATGACCGGTTCTTAGATGCAGAGTGCAGACCGCTATAATCACCCAGAAAGCGGTGATACCAGAACTCGAGACTGGCAGTCAGAACCGGGAATGACAGGTAATTTAGGTCGAACTAGGACACCTGGAGTCATGGTAGAGAGGCGTACGCTGGGTAGTACTAAGGAAGCGATTGAATGTTGAAGTGGACTCGGTCCGAGTCAGTGTAGGACCCCGGGCAAGGCGCTTATATGTCCGATCCGAAAACCCCGGATTTTGGGCCCTTATGCCCGCACGATTTCGACCCTTGTTATGTCCGCATCAGGATAGGACCTACCTTTAGGGGTGCTTTATGGCCGCATGACGGATCGGACCTCTAAAAAATGCAGTAAAATCGGCAAAAATGCCCAAAAATTCGCTGCATACCCTACACACTGCGTCGGAGTAGACTACCAAGAAAAATGTCCACATTTGTCTCTCGTTATTGTCAAAACGGTTGCATGAGGAGGAGGAACATATAAGCGCCGAGTACTATATCTCGAGCGCCCAACGTTCGTAAGTATGAATGTACTCTAGGTACCGGGCCACAAGTAGTCGCTAATTGACATGGATGGTGAGAGACAATCAAGCAGGAAAGTCAATCGGTTGCGGGATGATAGCAAACATGGGGCGTCAGGAGGACTGATGGTCCTTCATGACTTGGTTGGTACTCAAGTTCGACGAAGAACCTGGCGCATCTTCAGAATGAGGTCGACCGTGAGATTTTTTGTAGCTGGTCACTGCCAGTAGTCGTAAGGCTCGTATCCGATGGCTTCAACTTGACCGTGGCCATGGCAGTCGCATATTTGAAGTTCGCGAACAATGGTATGTAGCCGACCGGGACAAATGCGAATGCGAAGAAGTGCCCTCGTTAGAGTACGAGAAGTGCGCCCCTGCGAGTCAAACACTTGGTCAGTATGCCTGTATAGCCAGTCACAACATCCTATGGGCCAATTGCTCTGGCTGAACCTGGGACGCATATTGCCCTCTCTGTCTCCCAAGCGGTACCACGACCATATCGCATCTCAATGAGGCATGCAGCGATGACCTTTCCAAGCTACTGAAGCACTCACCAGTGGTTCTATCACGATCGCCTTGCTCACGTTCTCACGTCCGCGCACGTCCGCGCACATCGCGCTGTGTTTGTAGAGCGCTGTCTCCGCTGGCTTGTCCGTGCCGCCGTAGCCAAGCATGTCAGGCGCAGTAATTGAGTGGCCCCCGCCTTGAAGAACGTTGGTTGCGCCAGTCATATGACATTGCCGCAGTGACAGGAAGCCATGTACAAACAGAAGGGTCGGGTTCGACGCGTCTCCGGACGAGTGGTAGCTGTGATCGAAGAACGAGATGCTTTAGTCTCTTGTATCTGGGTGAGCCAAACCAGGTCGAGCGCACCCTACTAGCAATCTCCATGTGTCCGTGTCAAGCCATCGCCGCGTGATCTGCGAGAGAGGCTAGTAGGGCCTACGAGACGAGTCGGACCCGGAGTGCGAGTCATTAGTGATGTCACTAGAGTGTGATAAGTAATGTAGTTACTGAGTGCGCAGACTCACGGAGAAAGGAGAGGTGGTTGGGACGGCCCGAGCTATGGTGCAACCTCTCGAGTGTTTGCGTCAAATTCGGAGGTGGGCGCCAATGACGCGCTGGGCGCGTAAATCCTACACTGCGGTGCATGAATTCAGATTCAGCTATGTATAGTATTCTGTACAGAGGAGGCGAGACTCACATTGTTGTGAAATCCAAGCTTGGCTAGTCTACCAAGTCCCACATGACGGACGCATTCAAAGAATCTGCAATTTCGGGGTCCCATAACAAGCAGTTGCATGCGATCATCATAGCGATACAGTATCTTCCAGGCCTGAGCAGATGCCATCACCCACGATGCCATCCACAGAGGTTAGTAACATTGCTCAACTGAGAGATCCACGACGCGAAGTATGCTACGTACCAATCTCGCGATACTGGCTTCGCGTCAAAGGCGAATACGAGGTCATTTCATGGCCGCATACGGATCGGACATGCGAACGTGACAGCGTTTATGGCCGCATATGGATCGGACATGGCGCGAGCTCTGGCAGGTCTATGGCCGCACCAGGATCGGACATGAGCGCCCTATTTGGGCTGGTTATGGCCGCACCAGGATCGGACCTATAAGCGCCTTGCCCGGGGTCCTGTCAGTGTAACGGTGCGCCTGCTGACGTGACAGTGACTCTGTTCTGCGCGTGCTGTCACCGACCGTGACATGAGTACTGTCCAGTAACTGAATGTCCATTGAACGTCCATGAGTCCAACGGCGATGACCAAGTACTCTTTCATCCTGCTTGTGCGCCAGGTTAATATGTTCCCTTTGCCTATCACCTGTGTGCGGCTGCTGCGGCACAGGCTGTGGGGCCGCCTCGAGTGTAATGGCGGTCAACACTGAAACGAGCCTGCAGCCTCACTCGCCATCCATCTCCGGACTGGTATCGCTACACCTTTACTGTGTCCCCTGACTGTTCGTTCTCCATCTTTTGCGCCATGTCTGTTCTTAATAAGACCCGCGTCCGACTAACTTCGCTCGCAACACCTGCTAATTTCTTAGGTCTTTCTCAAAGTCGCAGCGCAGGCACGCTCGCAAACTCTTCCCCCAAGTCCTCCGCCTGCGACACATCTGGCAGCACCTCCTTATCCCATAATGCAGGACACAGATTTGCGGAGAAGAAAGGGGAGCTGGCGTCACTAGGACATAGGTCGAGCGTGCGGCGCAGGTCGTCCAACCCTTGTGAGTTTCGGTCCACCAATTATTTTCCTTGCTTCTGATCACATTCAAAGTCTCACCTCTCGGCTACACGTCTGGAAATGACAGTAGACGTACACCAAGCGGTTCCGTGAAGTCGACATCTCGGGCGGCTTCCTTCAGTCTGGCAGCGCTTTCACCAGTGCAGGAGCGAGCAACTCTGTTGCCATTGGCGAAAAACAACCGAGTCTCTGGAGACGAACCCGACGTAGACGTTCTGTCTTCCTCAGTCGCAAAAATGAAGATCACAATTCCGGAGGCGAGCATCGGGAGCGGGATCTCCCTGGGACCGACACTGTCGTCAGCGTCGTCTTTGCATTCTCTTGCTTCTTTGTTATCTACGTCGTCTTTGCAACTGGAGCCTGCCTCTGAGGCGGACCGCGCTTCGTCCAAATCCAAACTCTCCTCGTCTCTGGTTCCGCAAGAAGAGCAAGCGGCTGCGCCGTCACCGGAATCGCCCATCGCACACGCGAGACGGTGCGCGCGGCGCGCGTCGATGCTCATGCAGCGGTCCTCTGATCAGTACACCTTTTGTGCGCGGGTGCCGAAGGGTATCTCGACAGAGATGGTTACCGTATACGTCAAGCGCGGCTGCAGGCTGGCCATCGTGGCGGATGCGTGGCATTTGGAACACGATGGTATGTGTCCAGTCCTGCGCCATCTCAAGTTGCGTGCTGATGACCTCTCCGCAGCGCATTTCAGCTGGGAAATCGCTTTCACGCCTAAAGACGTGAACCTGGGTGGTGTGCATGTTGTACTGGACGCGAGCGGCAACCTCACTCTAACGGTTCCTCGTCGTGGATATGCTTCTGAGAGCTGTGCTCTTCCGATGTTCCTGTGATATGCTATGCGATGGCTTTCTACGTTTTGGATTGTGACGTCTCCCTGTCCGGGAAGCTAAAAGTGAGACGACTGCACTGCCACCACCGTCCACCTCAAGCCAAGTGTGTGCAACCGTGCACTGCTGGGATATTCGGTGCCACTCTACTGGTCTGAACCGAAACTGGGTACGTCTACAACGATCGGGGTCATGGCTGAGCGGGCTACCAGGCGAAGATAGAACAAGTGACAGGTCGGCTTCTGTTTGTTTCTCGCTAGTCGTGCTCAGGACTCCGTTACTGCAGAAGGACCGATGCTGGTATCTCGTTGTCTCGGGATCTTCACCCTCAGCATCCCTTTGCTGACTCTTGCCGGAGATGTCGAAGAAGGCGGCGCGTGTTCTACCTCCAATAGCCGGCTCGACCCCTCTTCGCACACCTTCCTCAGCGACTGCTCCGACACGGCGTTCTGCTCCGTATCATCGAACTCGACCTCTGCTACAGTCAACTCGACTTCATCCACCACCGCCACGAATGGTACTTGTCAGCCCCGCCGCTGCCGCCGAGACGAGTTCCCGTTCGGTTACGGCGAGGACCAGCCACTTCCGCCGCTGTGCTCTGGAGGTAGTTTCTGCCCTGATGACGGAAGTGGGTGCGAGACCCTCGTCGGGCTTGGCCAGGCATGCCAGATGAACCGGGACGACCAGTGCGCGCCGCCGCCGAAATGGCAGAGCCTCGCGAGTAATTGGAATGTCAACGGGTCGATCTGTCTGAAGTCGACATGCATGTGAGTGAAAGGACCTTGACGGAAGCGAATGTATGAGAGGCTGACCGTCGTGCAGGTACGCGAATGTCTCGCTCGGGCATACGTGCCTCCTCGACGACGTGACGTACATCGTAGACGGCCCAGACGGACAGCAGTACAGCAATACGATCACTCGAGACAACTGCCAGTCGCCAAGGTTGTATTGCGACCGGAACAGCACACAATGCGTCCTGACTAAAAGTTTGGGCGAGGAGTGCGATACGGATCGCGAGTGCCAGAGCGTACGTTCACATCACATGTATACCTGACGACCGGGTCTGATCACAACCTGATAGCACAATTGTGGTACCTCTGGAACTTGCATCGATCCACCGGAAATGCCCCTGCACGTAGCTACTTGGCAATACGGCGTTGTCGCACTCAGCGTTCTCTTAGGTAACACACTCTTGAAGACGCCGATATTGAGTTAACTGACGCGTTGCACGATGTATAGCTATGTCCGCTACGATCATCATGCTCGTTCTACTCCATAAGCGTCTGCGCCTGAAGCGGTACCGCGAAATCAGAGAGTACTACGATGAGCAAATGAGGTGCGTATACCTCCGTGCTCAACCTGCGAGTATTGATCCTGGTTCTTGTCACCAGCCTCCGACGCTCCATTGCAGCGTTGCATGCTGCTGCAGCTGAGAGATATGAGGACGAGAAGGACGGAGCGTATTAGCCATTATCTCGGTCGGCATGTCGACAGTCGTGCTGATTATTATGAAGATTGTTGTGGACGATGCTAATAGACGGATTGATGCCTTCAGCGATTATACTTGTGAAGATAGTCAGACTACGAAGGAAGGGACCTCCTCACAGGTGTCGGTGTCAAGCTGACTCGGAGGTGAGTACTGAACGTTGAACGTTGAGTACTGAGTACTTGAGTTCGAGTTGAGGCCTGTTGAGGCGGTCTTCGGACACTCCAGCGCTTCAGCAGACTCGATCCGATGTCTTCGATCCCGAACGGCTAGGCCCACACATTGTCCCGATCGCCACGACCGCGTCCACTCCTGGCCTAATTTGTGTTATTGAGTACCCAGTTCCTGCTCTCAATTAACCGTCTTTCTCTTCGGCTCAGTGTCTCGTTTACCAGAATGAGCGTCACAAGACCATCCAAAGCCACGGATATGTTCAGGTTCAACCATATGTGAGAGCCGACTCGGAAACTGGTATTCGCGCGACTAGTATATAGACCATCCTCAGTAATCTGGTTTTATGGACAGAGACCGTGAGTCGACTGGCTATCTGGATTGAACTACTCTTCTGAAGGGCTTGTGTCTAAGTACGGCATCAACTTTTACCTCGGGTATCTGTCCCGTTGGCCGGACCTGTGTTCAGTAGAAGAGTCCTCCAACGGGCGTATGATGGGCTATAGTACGTCCACTTTTCTCTCATGCCCGACAAGTCGTTGTACTGACACCCTGTCCATCCTACGTTAGTTATTGGGAAGGCTGAGGGACAAAGCACGGAATGGCACGGACACATCACTGCTCTCACTGTCGCTCCCGAGTACCGCCATCTCTCGCTCGCCCGCAAAATGACTGATTACCTGGAGCGCGTCTCGGATCACAGCTACCATGGTTTCTTTGTAGACCTTGGCACGTTCGGTGCACGAACAGCGTCGCCATAGGCATGTACGAAGGGCTGGAATACAGCGTGTACCGGAGGGTGCAGGAGTACTACGGCAGTCTGGGGCTGGGGAGGAACGCGAAGGACGAGGAGGATGTATTCGGTGAGTGTCTATCTCTGCTTCTATGCGTAGGTGGCTCAGTTGCACTGGCAGATATGCGCAAACCGTTGTCTCGGGATCCAACGCGGCGCTCCGTGCGCCCAAATGGACGAGAGATATCTGTCAGCTCTCATGATGTATCATAAGTAGCCTCACTTTCGCAAACACCCTTCCGTCACCTCGTGTGCTGCATAATCTGATACTGAACGCCAGCTTGCAGTGCAACTGATTATCTGTCAGGACATCACATTACATCTAGGGCTTTAAATGCTTCGCCCACTGGGAATCCACGGCGAAGCTTGAATCGGTCCAAACTCCACGCGCCTTGGTATTTCTGTGAGTCGTGTACCTCTTCACTCGCCGATTGATGAGAGTTTGCCGGGGCCATATGACCCTTCGGAGGGCCAGTGGCACGCTCGGAGCACTCGGTCCGCCGCGACCGTCAATTTCAAGTTGAAGGTCACCGTCACGTCGCTTCACTCGTATGTATCCGACCAGAGCTATCTTATTCGTATCTGTCAATTGCTGCGATGCTGATGGTGCCTTTTGTCAGTTATTACCGAAAGCTTTGAAGATGTTCTCGCAATGCTACTGTCACTTGATGATCATGTTCTACCGCGTGCTGGCGTAAGACTCGGCCGCCGCGGAAGGTAGTTTGCTTTGGGCACGAACTCGAAGTAAGTCAAGGTGACATTCTCATCATGCAGTACATCTATTATCTTACGTAGAATCATGAACCTCGATTGATACGGGTCGACATCTGGTGTCCTGGACAGGCACTGGTCACGTCCCATGTTCGGGTGCACGCAGTGCCAGTGTGTGGGCCGTCTCTGTCTTCGAGTCCCATTCATGGGAAAACCGTCGTAGACGGAGCGGTCTCATAATCGCCAAACTATACATACGCACGTCGAAATCGCGAGGCAATGAAATGAATCCAGTGGAGCGAGTTATTCCTGACCTGTTATGAGTCCTAATGCGACTCGCCCTGGCATATGGTCTCGCATGTTCGCCGGCGGCCGGTAGCAATTCGAGCCCGTTCTGATCACTTGCATAGGGCCTACCTTTCGATAGGTTGACATGTACGTGAGTGCTCCGTTTCTGTCAGCAGCATACAGGACAGTTTTCTAAAGCCCGTGATGTGCTTGTGATGTGTCCAGGCTACAAAACAACTTCGTACTGGCTAGCAGTTCATATCGCATCCGAGTCGTTGGAGCCTGGGCATTTCTTCCACATGTCGTCGTCGTATGAGCGACGCTCGGGAGAAAACCTTGGCCAAAGCATGAAAACTGAGTGAGTGTTCTATTGTGTTTACCGCCGTCGACGAACGAGCTCAGTGAGACTTCTAGTACTCTTCGAAACTATTTAACTCTCGTGCCTGTTGGTGAGTTACCAATTTGTACATTCTGCGTCTACGTGTTCACTCATAGATGTTGCGTCTAGCACTCATTCTCTATGATCTTTTCCTCACGTTGAGCCGGGAGGTACAATTTCTGTGGAGATGGAAGCTACCTCGCGCGGCGGCCTTGCTTTTCATCCTATTTCGCCTCAATCACCTCGGGCTCGTAGCTTCGTTTTTATCGCAACTCGCTACGTGTCCGAGTATGTGGGCACCTTACCCAGTGAGAAGTATTCCGCTCGCTTCATAAATGCCTCCGCTCATTATACTTACCGCCAGCTGAACGGGCCGGTTCGTCATGAATTCGTGTCCAGACACACATGCATAACTTCTCATGTTTCATTCTCACAGTACAACAGCTGCTTCGTCTCGGGAGTCATACATGGATATGTCATGATCGGGCTGAGCATGTTTCTGACGGCAGGTAAGTAACGACGCACTCCTCAATCGAAGTAATATTCCTGATTTGCCCCAGTTGTTTCTGCCATGCGTGTATATGCCGTCACAAGGAGGAACGTCTACCTGACGTGTGCGACGCTGCTTCTCGGCCTGTTCCCTGCTGGTTCTCTCTGGGCAGAGTAAGCATCCACACTACTCCCTTGTCACTGACTCGGGCTCATTCATGTTTTGCCAGAGGTACCGTGTTCAAACTGTTCAGTGTATGCTGACAAACGGCTCAAAGAAAAGCTCGTAGGGTCTGCCATAGACATGGCTTCTCGAGGCTGCGCGATAGCATGCGACGTTATCGTCATTGCCTTCACTTGGCGGTACACTTTCCATGCACTGAAAGTTACACTGCGCGGCAAATCGATGGGGCATACTGTTTCGTGGTATCTGATGCGAGACGGTATGTCCGTTAGGTTCTCGTACATAGCCGGGAAGTTGCTAACTATGTTGCTAGGGACGTTTTACTTCGTGTAAGTGTGAGCGTGCGATGTTAATAATGCAAGCCACTAACTCGGTCACAGCATCATGGTGATTTTGAACGTCGTTGACATCCTCACGTACGCCTTCTTGGTAGGAGATTATATATGTTGCTTTGACAGCAGTCTCACCGCCATGCCCTTTGTAGCGGATGTCGGTCCTCACGCCCATGATCTATTCGTTCGTGCTTATCCAATCCGTCGGGGAGCATTGTGTACTAATGGGACATTGATTGTAGCCTATCAGTCCTCTTCTTTTGGCGTATATTGCTCAACCTCAGAGAAGCGGCACACACCTCCGGAGCTTCGGATACGTCCTCAGGGTTCTTGGACGCGCCTTCACCCAACACGACCTTGCCTTTGGTTAGCGCGAACAACGCGGCAGACGACACTATGCAAATGATGAGACTCGACATTCGACTAGCCCACAACCTTACTGATGACGACAGAGAGGAGCTGGGATTGTCTAGTCGCGGTTGCGAGACCAACCGGGGTGTTGTTTGAAGTCGACATCGGTGCGGGTGTCAGGGTGTATCTTCTCGTATCACTAACACTCCTACTACTTATGCTGCTACGTGACACTTCGAGCCAATACTCTGTACATACTATTGCTTACACTGTTGTCGGTTCTGTTGCACATCATTATTCGCGATGTAGGATTGAGAACAACTGCGCCTCGGAAGTGTCTCGATGTGTTCTCGCACGCAGCAATGCATACAGATCCAAAGGTTTGGTCAGCCGTAGCGCTCTCCTCCGTGAATGCGAGATTTTCGCTATGCGCAAGCCTGTTAGAATAACCAGAAGGCGAGACGTCATGTATCATGCTATATATCATGGCGCGCTACTCTACAGCATTGACAGGAAGTAAGTAAAAGTGTGTCGTACAGCAGTTCCTGAAACCCTTGTCCGCGTCGCGCCGCGCACGTGAAAAAATAAAACAAATCGAAAAAATCAGGAATAATCAGGAAAATCGAGAAAAGGGCTGCACACCTCGTAGACACTGTAGAACATCTCCTGTGAGCCGAAAGGTGTGTGCCGCGCACCTGAACGGACTATCGAGGGTCGTGCGATGGTCGACGTGGCGGGCGACGACGGGCGCTAACGCCGAGGAGCTCGGAGAGCATCCGTCGCAGAACACGGCTGTGGGTGCTCGATTTCACCTGGAGTGTGCCCGGGATTACTTATAAATAAGGCTACTACACAGATATGATCTGAAAGGAAGAAAGTTGGGCATTTGGTGGGTGGTCAGACCTCAGGAAGATGGAGACTTAGGTATCTCGGACTGTCTCGTGTTGCCCTTGCATGAAATGCCAGCCTACTCAGGTTAGATGTTGTTTGGAATCATGACAAGCCTTCAGAAAGCTGCTGGATGGGTTGTGTTATTCCAGGAAAGGCTGTGACTTTGCAGTTTTGGGTGGCCACGGAGTCTTACAAGACAGAGGTTCGTCATTGGAAGACTGGGCCGATTTAGGTCTTGTATCCATCACATATGGCTCTGACATTGATACTGTCCAATACTGTGCCCGTATCGATGCTGGACGCTGAGCAATGAGCCGCAGTTGCGAAGCGGCAAGTCCTCCGACTACTGCCACCCCGACTCGGACAATCATGGACCAATCATGGGCCACAAGCCACTACCTCTGTCATGTTGAAATATAAGTACATCCGCTGTCGACCCAACTGTCCTTCACGCTCATTTCAGGCCATGTCGAGCACTCACAGCCGCGTTCTGCGACGGATGCTCTCCGAGCTCCTCGGCGTTAGCGCCCGTCGTCGCCCGCCACGTCGACCATCGCACGACCCTCGATAGTCCGTTCAGGTGCGCGGCACACACCTTTCGGCTCACAGGAGATGTTCTACAGTGTCTACGAGGTGTGCAGCCCTTTTCTCGATTTTCCTGATTATTCCTGATTTTTTCGATTTGTTTTATTTTTTTCACGTGCGCGGCGCGACGCGGACAAGGGTTTCAGGAACTGCTGTAACCTGGTCGTAACTTGTAAATTAAGCGATGCGGCAGAGATCTAGAGGACGAGGTGCCGAAGCGGTCAAGCCGGCCCGCCCTCCGAAGCTGGGCTGGACGTCGCCAGGCGACGCCAGCAGACTTGCCAACGAGGAGCTTGCTCTCCTCAGTCCCCTCACAACTTATCATGGAACCGGTCTGTCTATTGGGGTTATAAGACCAGTTGGAAAGCGGTGTCGTGCTCGACCCATCAAGACAAGTCGATTCCAACAACACCTGGGACTGGACGTTCACAGATCCCGCCGGACTACGCCAATGAAACTCGGACAGCTACTGTCGCTGCTTCTCCAGAAGTCTCTACGCTCGGTTTGCGAGAAGCAATGCGTCGCCATGGACGCAGGACCGGGATAAAATGGTATATTGGCAGGAATGCGCGACCACAATGCCACGTCGGTCTACGGCTGGGGAGGCATATGACAACCAAGGAGGGTTGGGACGTGTTTGGTACGTCGCGGTACGTTTAACATAGGAAACTCACCTACGCTCACGCGCTCATAGATGCGTCCAGCTCCATTCAGCTAGACGAGCGTCGTCAACCCGTGGCTTCGCCACGGGCTGACGGGGCGGTTCTTTCATTCACTGCTTCATGTCGCCCATAAGATTACAATGCTTGGGCCTGCCAGACCTGGGCTTCGCCACAGGTCTGGCGGCAGTTCTTTCATTCTGTGCTCCATGTTACCCCTAAGTTTACATGCTTGAGCCCAGACCTGGGCTTCGCCACAGGTCTGGCGGCGGGTTTTCATTCACTGCTTCATGTTACTTTTAAGATTACATGCTTGGGCTGGCAGCATCTGGATCATTCAATGCTGTGTGTTGCCCTTGTGTTTACATTTTGGTTCAATATTTCCCGGCCTGCAGTACACTCTCCTGTATATACATTGTCTTGTGATTTTATAATCTGCTGTAGGGCATTTCTTCCATATTACTGCTGTTTTTCTCATTATTTCCCGGTATTGATCCCAGTACTGATATTAATCTGCTTCATTCAATGCTGTGTGTTGCCCTTGTGATTACATTTTTATTCAATATTTTCCGGCCTGTGGTACATTTTCATTGATATCTCTGCCTTCTTCAAGTTGGTCTTTATTTCTTTGGTATTACTGCAGTGTTTCCCATTATTCCCTGGTACTTATTGATGTGTCCTGTTTTCCTGGTACCAATCTTCCTTATTTTCCCGGTATTGATATCTCATTTCCCAGGGCTGATTTCTACTATTTACCCTGTGTTGATTTCCCAGTGCTGAGTTGTCCTATTTCCCAGCAGTGAGTTGTATTTTTCTTCCCATTAATTGTGCTTCCTATATATAACTTCTATGTACCCTGTTCATTTTTTTTCTACTCAATCTTCCCATCACATCACCCCCATGCTCGCACGGAAATTCCACCTCGGGGACACCTCGGGCTGGCTCGCGCAGGCGCCCGCGGGCGGAAGACGCCGGGAGCTTATGGGAGGAGGGTGCGCCACATGAGGCCACGCGGCGAACGTGGACGCCATGTGCGCTCCATGTGCGTTTCTCGTGGGCGTACGCGAAAAGCCACGCGAGTTACGCGCGCCACAGCACCACCCTCGTCCCACTCCTTTTAGATGGTCAAGAAATCACCGTTGGCACTCACGGATCATAGTATAACGACGACGGCTGTAGCGGCGTCGGACCCTCCTGCGTTAAGTAGTTTATGTTGAATGATGCTACTCACACCAGTTTGCTCCGACCGAAACGTTTGCCACCGAAGAGATGTTCCGTGGCATCGCGCTGCAATGATGATGGTGAGCCGTCTGGCACTTACTGCGTATACTATGATGATAATCTGCCGGGGCCATATGACCCTTCGGAGGGCCAGTCAGCTCGCTTTAGCGTGCAGATAGACCCTTGGGAAGCGGCTTGATATACGTCCGGCTATGCGCTCGTGCTACATATGCTTTCACGGAGCTACTTCTGATTCGCTCATTGTCGTCCTTCCTGCAATGTTTCGCCACGATGCTGACCATCTCGAGTTCACAGGAAAGGATGAATGCGCTCCGCAAAGGGGGAGCCACCGTACTTTCAGTCTCGTATGTTCCTCCGAAGACAGCGCCGACGATATACGTCGGCAACAAGAATGAGTTCTCTGTATGTCTAGCCCACACTGCCACACCGTTGGTACGTCACTCTCAGGCTACTGTCAAAAATGTTCGTACAGTACTGCGCATATGTGGAACGTGTCTTGGGGACGACAGATGCGCTGAGCATACTATGGCGAAGGCGTGCGCGCGTGGCATCGCGTGCTGCGGGAGCGCGGGGATCTTTCGCTGAGTCTCCACTTACACATATATGACCAGGCGTGCAGTGCTTGCGCGTCGTTGGTGTGTATGAGCATAGCCGTGAAACGCGCGGTCTGCTAGCGCTGACCCGCGCCTTTCAGACGTTAAGACTGGCGCAGTTCTTGTTCTCCTTGACTTCGGGTGGTAAGTAACAGCATGCCACTCGATCAGAAGCGCTGCCTGGGACTCCTCGAAAGCGGTTAACACTTATCCTTTGTCGCTCGCGAGACTGCCCACTGACATCGGACATCTGATTCTGTGTCACACCTGCTGAGATATGACAAGATGAACAGGACGACAGTCGATGCCGTCTCCACGGGCATGAGCCATGTGCTACGCGCTGAGACGAACATTGTTATATATGCTGTCAGTCAACGTTGTCCTATCGGCGCTCATCTACCGAGGCATTCCTCAGTATGCTGTCTTCGCCGAGACTAGGTGTTGTTGACCTGGAAATAGTCTATATCGCGTGAGTACTCTCTGCACCCGAGACATCCATTTCAATGAAACCCCCAGTTCCCCGAATCTTGGTCCTTATTTGGGTCTTGCACCAATTGGTAGGTTGACAATATGGATGTAACTTCGTCAAGCGTGTTCATTTCTCAATATTCCTGATAGCATTGATCATTTATGATTACCTCCTTACCCTCGACGTGGAGATACAGCTGCTCTGGAGTCAGAAGCTACCTCGTGCGGCTGTTTTGCTTTCCGTGCTTATTCGCCTTGTCCTCTTATGGATTGTCGTCATCTCTTTGTTGCAATTCACGCCATGTTTTTTGAATGATGCTGTAAGCCGCCTCTCTTTCACCATTGCTCGAGAAATGTCCTTTATGTTTTACACTACCAGATAGGGTATGGACATTGTGGATGTTGCTCGGACCTTATCCTGACATGGAAAACAGCTCGCTCGTTCTCACTGTAATGTCTGCTTATTTCGTCCCCGCAATCAGCATGATCCTAACAGCAAGTAAGTGACGAGTCGTTCTGCACTTATTTTCGATTTTGATGTGTCCCATTGGCAGTTGTTTCTACGATGCGTGTATATGCTGTAACCATGCGGAACAAATACGTGACGCTGTTGGCATTGTGTCTCGGCATTAGCCCCGTGTTCATGGTTTATTTTCAGTAAGAATTCTGGCTCGCGTAGTGACCATCATCTTATACATTGTACTCAGAGGTACAGTGTCCATATCAAGCGATACATGATGACAGCTCAAGGGGATCCTCAGGCACTATAGGCATCGATCTGATTTCCCGCGGTTGTGCGATACTAGGCGACATCGTAGTCATTGCCACAACCTGGTGGACTACTTTCCGCACAGTGAGATTTAGGCTACGCGACAATGCGATGGCTCAAATTCAGGCTCTGTCCTGGTACCTGATGCGGGACGGTACGCCGTGCTTCCCGTATGTCAGCGAGAAGTTGCTCACTTTGGCACCAGGAACATTCTACTTCGTGTGAGTGGATGCGTAGGCCGTTTCCGCGAGACACTGAACGAAAGCACAGTATCATGCTCACTCTGAACATCGTCGACATCGTCGTGGTGGTCTCCACGGTACGTGAGTGATTCTTCACGATGACCGCAGGTTCTCATCGTTATACCTCTCCCAGCAAACTGATATGCTCACGTCAACCATGATATCTCCGTAAGTCGTGCAAGAGCGATGTGTCAATGAAGGGTTTGCGCACTAACCAACTGTACACAGCTTATCTGTTTTCTTCCTCGCCCGTCTACTGCTCAATCTCAGAGCAGCGGCTCACAGCTCTGGAGCTTCAAGTGGGAATTCAGGGTTCTTGGACGTGTCTTCACCTCGCGGGACCTCAACTTTGAACTTCGCGGGCGAGCCGGTTGAGGACGATACGGATACGGAGCTTACTACAATTATCTCACCATCAAGAGACTTGACCGATGGCGCCGGTGAGGGAATCGAATTGTCTACGATACGCGACAATAGTCCTTGTACTGCTTAGCATTGCGGTCAATGGCATCTCCATCTCCATCTCGGAGACATGAGTTGCATCACTATTGCAATACATTTGCATGTATCGTGCGGACGTGGTACCTCACGTAAGGATTGTCCATATTGATGCCTTCGTGCGGCATCGCTCAATGCCTCTATTGGACAGGGTCTTCTTTCCTCAAATTGAGCAACCCCGGTATGCATGACATCTCTGATCTGACCACCGTAGTTGACGAGTGCGGTCACAGTGTATTCAAAGGGAACGTGGCGACGGCCTGTATGATGGTGGCCCTGAGTAGGTCTGATTCCAGTCACTCGCATTGGGCACTGCCGGCTAAGTCATCTGCTATCAGTTTGCACAGCACTCACCATGCTTGCCTTGTCGCGTCGCGATGCGCGGAGGAAAGCTCACGAGGTTCAGCTTGAAGAACCCACGAGCGATCGTGCGTCCTCCGATGATCTCAAAATCGGCAAGGATGACGTCATTGCGTCGGGTGTAGTAGCTGAGGGACTCAGAGGCTGAGTAGAAATGATCGCTGGTAGCACCGTAACCTCTCGTACTCGTGAGGCATCGCACCGAGCCAAAGGGCTCCAAGCAGAAGGAATGAATACTTCGGTATCGATTTTGATTCAGTGACAGACCCCACATCCGTACCGTACAGGAATGCGCACATAGAGCGAAGCAGATGAATGAGCTACCCATTTCACCGTTGCTCTTCCTGAATATCCGTATCGCCGTAAACATTCACCTGATCCGTATCGTCAGCGTCATTGCCTGGATCGTTCATCGCGTCCATTTCATGTTCTTCGGTGGTAGCGTGTGCAGCAGCCGCGGCACCAGGTTGGGGTTCGAAGGCGATGCTCGATACGTGGGTGAGACCACCCAGTATATGGGAAATCGTGAAGCCTGATGCGTCCGGATTGACGTCTCTCATAGAGGCTTCCCGGAGATTGAGTAGGAGCCGCGACAACAACACTATTTGTATCCTTTGAGACCTCGAATGAGCACCAAGCCTTTCTGTAAGTGAGGCTGGGAATACGCACGGTTGAGAGAATGTATTGAAAGACACATCCTGATGTAAGGCTGATGAGGATGCAAACCCATGACGAATAATCACACGATCGCACCGTAAGATACAGGAGTAGACAGTTGACGAGCTGCAGAAGCAGCATTGCTCTAGAACAAGGTAGATAAGAATACAGCATGTGTAGATGGGCAGAGTAGGACGTGCATGAGATAGGCAGTACCTGGGAGCAACCCAACATCAGTCGAATCGTCCGGCGAAGAAGTGAAATATGAGTTTTCCCGCACCGTCTCGAAGGAAAAACCACGAGATACTGAATGACCTTGGGTTGACTCGAGCCTGTCCCTCTCCAGGCCGTCGTACAAGAAATAGCATCCTTGACCAGGTGAGACCGGTGACGATAGCTTGCGAGAGTATATTGCAAATCAAAGCAACGAGTTGCACTACGACGAAAGGTCAGTAAGCCTGCTTAAGATAGAATCGGTTTGTTACAAGAGATCACCACTTCATGCAATCAGTGGAGGCATTTGATCGTCCAGTGGCAAATACTCACTTTTCAGACGTGCTACCTACGAAGTGGACCACGATATCGCAGATCCCGACGCCATCCTCGTACCCCACATAAATTCGGTCTGTCGCTATCATGTACTGCAGGTGTATGTCAGTGGCTCATTCTCCAACTTGAAGTCCGTCAGATTTTGCCTACCGCATTGATGATAGCCACGAGTATGCCAGTCGAAAATACTATTGCAGCCCACACCAAACTACGGTTGCTGACTGCGTATGCACGAATTGCCGAAATCACTGGTGACGCCAGTTGAAGTTCAGTATACAAGGCGAACACGAAGTCTTGGGACAATAGACTGACCTGCGTCCAGTATATTCGGGAGCTGACTGAATACTGCGGAGCTGACGTAAATACCGCGGCAACTGTACATCATATAAGTCATCGAGACGACGGTCCGATGAATGGCCTTCAGTGGCTGACCTTTCCGAAGTCTATGGAACACAGTCAAAGAGTAGTGCGAAGATGCAGAAGGATGTGGTGACATACCGGTAAGTCGTACAGAATGGACACCAACTGGATAGTTGGCATGCCAATGATGGTGAATCGTATCAAGACCATGAGCGTGGTCATCCCAAACGGTGCACGCTGCAACCATAAGAGATTGATGTCGCTGCCCACAGTAAGCAGATAATCATAGATGGGAAATACTGCAAACGCATTGAGCGATCCATAGCGGAACTACCACTTTCAGACAGACCTGTACACGCGAAACCCATATAATCCTGTATTAAGCTGTACATGATAAAGTGAGCTCCGTAACGGTCTCAGGACATACTGTGAGATATAGCACCGACATAAACTGTGCACTGGCGATCGCTTCGGCCGTGGATGTAGACATGGAGGAATTGGTGTCCTTCGAGTGAATGTAGTCACAAGCCGGATAGCGACTGACCGGACGTATTCTCAGTTACGACCTTTTATGCCCCTAATTGAGTTTTGCAAGTCGCGTGCAACATATGATGTATCTTTGTTCTGCACACAGATTGTTGGAGAACCACAGCCTGGAGTATTTGAGTACGTACCCGGTCACAGCCTGAAATGACACGTGGATCAATTGAGTACCACTCAGGGCTCCTACCAGCCCGATCACTGGATGCGTTTCCGTAAGGATTTAGACGCGTTTTGATGGCTCCATACCTCAAATCAGCTGGAAGAAGCGTCCGTAAGCCCCGCCGTACACAGGTTGAGGCCACATTGGCGGCCGTGCAGCAATTCATGCTTTTAGGTTCACCTGTACCGCGGAACTCTATCGATGCCTAGTATGTAAGCGACCGATCAAAGGGATGAGAAGCGACACATACCTCTATCCAACGCTTCGGGATGTATGAACAGCGCCTTCAACCACCGTTGACGCCAATAACGGTCGAGTTGCACACGACTGGGCCTCGTGCGAGAATGACACATATACCAATCTTATTACATACGCACATCTCGTACATTCTTCCTTCACCATAGCAATGCTTACTCGAGCTTCAACACTGTGTCTGCATCAACACATGTGTCGACGAGCACTGGGAAGGCCTGGGACTTACCACATGCTCCACTACTCGGCCTCGTTGCAAAGATGACCTGCTTCAAAACCTCGCCCTCGAGACCCTTGTACGCAGGGTACGTCGCCACGAGCTTCTCAATAAACAGGTCCACCTTATCTTCAGCCACAAGCGACACCGTGCATCCCCAACCAGCACCTATCACCGCCGCACGTATCAGCCTCATCCGCACAACAAGACACACGCTTCCCGTCGCCGACTCACCCGTGAGCCTGGATGCATACGCCGGCCTCCTTCGTGATACGGACGAGCTCGTCTACCTCTGGACACGAGTGCTCCAAGAACCTGCGCGAGTTGTAATGAGACGCATCCATAAGGTCGCCCAGCTCCCGGAGCACGCTGTCCGGGAGGTCCGCCGCGTCCGCCGCTCGCAGACAAGCCGCGCAGAACTCGATCACTCGGAGGGACTCCTCGAACACATGCCGTGTAGATCTGGAAGTGCATCGCCTCGACTGCGAAGATCGACCACGGCGCCGCGTCAGTTTCCCAGTGGATGTGGCCGAGCGGCAGAGGAAGACGCACCCTCGACCCAGCTCAGGTACACCTCGTTGAAGAGCGCCGCGTCCAGCCCGCTCTCCTTGATCATCTCCTCCATCGTCAGTCCCAGCTGCTCGTCGCCCCTCCCCGCCGGGCGCAGCTTCTCCACCTCCGGCAGCACCTTCTGCAGGCCCGCCTTCAGCTTGTCCGTGTCGAGCTCGGTCGGCTGGCCCTTCGATTCGGTGTGGCCGGGCCACCGCCCAAGCATGATGCGGAGGGTCGGGCGCTCGGTAGGCTGCAGCTGAACGTTGAGATGACGCGCGAGGATGCGGGCACCGGCGAGCGTCTACCACGCGTAGGTTGTAGCGCGTCTTCGCGCCCGATATGTCTCTTGAGCGTATATTCAAGGAGGGATGGCATAAGACTCGCCGACAGCCTTGTCGCTGACCACCAGCGAGTTGGCAGAGACAAACACGGCGCGCGCTCTGGTGCGTAACACGGAGAGGAGGACCAGCTCCGCGTGCAGGAAGGGGAAGAATGCGATGTACAATGCCGACGAAGGCATGGAGATGACCGAAGCAGCCTGGTCCATTCCGCCGCTGTTGATGCCTGCAATCACTGGAATGAATGAACTGCAGCGGATGAAGTGGGCTGCACACGTAGCGACACGCTGCTCGTTCTCCATTGCCATTTCGACCAGCTGGCCTTTCGTCAGTTTGTCGAGCTTGTTATTCACTGCGAGGAACGAAAACGTGGATGGAACCACCATCGCGGCACTGTTGTGATGCGTCAATCCAAGTGTACTCTGTGTATGAATGCGACGTAGCAGTAAGCACCTGGGTGAAAGCCCTAATCCCGAAGGGACCGAACCGGTGACAACGAGGTCGATGGGGACTGGATGCTCGTTTGACGAGGGAGCGAAGGATCGATTCAGTACACCCTACGGATACAACCTGTGTTAAATTCGCCAGATGACAGTTGAGATGGTCTTGGATACACCGCGAGCGAGCGTGTCGCTGTCTCGCATATGCCGGCGCCGCGGTGTCAGTGCGCTCCCTAGGGGAATACGTCAACGACTCAACTCAGTCTCATTCTGACCGTAAGCTGGTACGATCGTTAAATAGCTCATAACGTGCATTGGGATGATACCACAGTTCACACAAACAAATGAGGCAGAATCACATTATTATTCCTCGTCTTCTGGGTCTGTCAGTTCTTCACCTTCTCGTACGCCCGAATGGCGTTCATATCCGGGTCTCCGCGCCCACGACCTGCCGTCTGTGTATGGCTCTATGCGGAATGGGAACAGCAAGGTGTACAACGGACTGGCGGAACGACAGGGGTGAGCCTGCATGCGGGCAAAGAGAGTGCGGCACTTACTATCCATCCGGGCCGACGTTGAAGAACAGCTCAAGGTTCTTCCGTTTCCTTCATAGCCAGCCGCCGAGTGAGAAGGACGTTGCAATACCACACCGCATGTACACTTACCCGAGATCATACGAGTTCACAAACGTCTCTCCACGCCCCTTCGCTGTCTGGCGGTACTGCTCGTGGTCTGCGCTCTCCACGCTTGTCTCTCCGCACGCGATGCCCCATATGTGCCAGGAGGTCATGATGGTCACCGCGAGACACATCACGACGGAAAGGACGTATGTCGCGATGACAAACACGGGCGGGGAGTAGTACGGCCAGGGGTCGTCGCCGGACAGGCCCAGAGCAGCGAAGACGCACCGCCAACCGGAAGCGGCGTAGCAGAACGTAGCGATGGATACGTAGACACTGTCATGGGAGATGGTGAGAATGAACAAGAGCAGGCGGTAGAGGGACGAACAGGAAGAGCACGAAATGTCGCTCGTTGTAGAGACCGACGCATTGGTTTACCCCTACAGACAGTATGGCTTAGGAATGCAGACGATGCACATGTCCTATGGAATGCATACACTGCGGATATCTCAGAACATGGGGATCACAGGCTGGGATACGGACGTACGGGACAATGGTGATCATACTTCAGAATGCACTTGTTGCATATTCGACAGTGGTGCGCTCTCTCCTCCCTTCAGCAATGCCACATCGTAATTTGGTAGCATATACTCACCTCTGGTCTCAGCACCTTACACCTTTTACACCTCGTCGCACTGGCCGTCGTAATATTCACCTCCTCACTCCATCGTACGCCCGCTGCAGTAGATGGACCCCCTCTGGACTTCGGCTTCGCCCACAGCCACCCAGACCCGCGTTCTCGTGGGAGGTCAATCACAAACCCAGGAGGAACGATGCACACCCAACAGTAGTGCATGAACAGGTTGAAGGCGATGAGTGCGCAGATGGGCGTCGTGAGCCATGGCAGAGGTAGAGTCGGGCGGACAACTTCGACTATATCCATGTCATTTCAGGTCCCCCGACTCTCGATTCTACAGTAGCAAACTCACAGAAGCACCCGGCACCGACAGAGAGCAAGACGACCCCGAGAGTGACGAATACAGGACCTGCTGCGCCTGTGATCTTGTCGCCGACACGCTCGACGGCCCGAAAGCAGCGAAAGACTCGTTGTGCGCAAATCATGCAGATATTTTGGGTCAGAGGTTGGAGAGCCTTATATTGAGAAATGTAACAGAGCAAAGACGGGCAGCCAGTGCATTGAGGGGACCCGGTGGGAGCTGTTGCGCGTGAAGTCACTGTGAACGCGCGCTCCGCCGCAGACGCGTGTCGGAAGGGAGGCGCGACTTGGACGCGTCCGTGTCACAGCCATGCGTTCCTGCTCGCAATGCACTTCAAAACTACACATTACGAAGCTTGTTACATCTCCAAGAAATACGAAGGTACCTAGGATAGCGGTGTGCAGGGCAACAGCCCAGGTTATGGAGGCAGAGAGAAGAATATTCAATAGGAATACATAACCGTCTCTCCTCAGGTCCTAGCGAGCCGAGGCGCACACTCTGCGGGACGGGTGTATAAGGCTTTAGCTTGAGGCTTTAGGGTGTACAGAGAGCAACGACGACAAAATGGGCCGACAGATGGAGCACAGCGGACAACAATGAATGGTTAAGGACAAACCGAGACAGGAAGTGAAGACGACACGTAACCGACGCAGTCCGACCACGAATAAAAGTTGAGATGTTGGGTGACACAGGCGACGCTCATCGACCCTTGCCTGGCGTTGTTGCTCGACGGGGCGTACCTGGCGGTTTGCGTGGTGTGGGAGGTGCTACGCCTGCAGTGAGTCGTCTCTCTGTCATCCCGCCAGGCGCATCGGTGGCACGCTGTACCTCCCTCACAGCCCGTCGCGCTGCGTCGCCCACTTGGTTCTGTGGACGGTCTGCATCGATTCGGGACAATGCGCGTAGCAATTCTTGTGGGTCGGTTGTGGGTGGTGGTCGGGAGAGACTGGGTGGGAGGTAGGACGACACGGCACCAGACGTGGATGGTAATGAGGTAGGTGCGGGCTGAGAGCGAGTGGCTAGTGAGATGTTGAGCATCGCGAAGCGACGATCTAGATCTGTTTCCGCTATGCGCGTGGTTTCCAGTGCGGAGTTTGAGAGGGAATGCACCCGGTCGATCTATTCAAAAGTCAGCATGACACCAGAGCGCGGATGGCATCACTGCGTACCGTGTATTCCAGACTGTCCAGCCGTCTGCTCAACGGGTCTTGCTGTGCGAACTCTCCACTGACGAGCTTCCGTGCGAGCTCTACGCCACCCTTCCCTCCGAAGTGATCTGGTAGGTCTCTAGGATCGATATCCCAGTCATCTGCCGGTACAGCCCGTTGTTTGCCCTTAGCTTTGGTCGATGCAGCCTTGTCCAACTCGGCAGCAACTTCCATACGAAAGGCATTATAGTGGTTGGTGACCTCTATCCACGCATCTTCCTCCGCCTTCATCCTGGCCGCAAGTGCCCATTAGCCACATTATTTTAAAACGGCAGACACAAAACAAACCGTTGGTTGTGGGCATTGAACCGGATCTCACGCGCCCGGTTCTTGACGTTCTGCTCGTTCTCCTTCTTCGGCCTCGTGTCTCCCGCATCCGCTGCCTCATAC